GGGAGGGGGGAGAGTGAGGAGAGAGAGGATGACGAGAGGGGAGGAGGGGTGGGTAGGAGAGCGGGGGGCGAGGCTGGGAGGTGGCAGGGAAAAAGAGAAGCGACGCGGCGGGGCGTGGGGGGGCACATGTGGGGGGGGGGGGGAAGCCAGGATCGGCGGCGGCAGTTCAGCGGCAGGTCCTTCGCTCCTAAAGGGAGTGAGGGACCTGCCGCCCCCGAATTGCCGCAGGTGCCGCCCCTCTCCCTTGGCCGCCCCAAGCACCTGCTTGTTAAGCTGGTGCCTGGAGCCGGCCCTGAGCCTTGAGCACATCTGTGACCTTCGTCTAAAGAATCTACATCACTTAAAGGAGAAGTGGGATCAGTTATCTCTCACTATCAGAGTAGGAATCATTTCCAGGATTAGTGTTGCGGGGAAGAACAAAAAAGGTTCAAAGAGCTTGATTGTGAGGCTGCATGTAGCATTGGTGGTCTGTAGGTAAACACCGCATTGTAACTCCAATGTCTTCATGTTCCCAGACTTGGATACTTGCACCGCACCTGAAAACATGTATTTTTTTTTAAATAAGTAAACCCATAGTTTAACATCTTCCCATGTGCTTACTTTATCCCATTTTCACAACCCGCTCTCTCACCCTCATCCTGATCTCCTTTTAGGAGTCTGCAGTGATTATTCATTATCAAAGCTTTGTTGCCTGACGCAAATTAATTTCCCTATGTAAAGGCTGTCAGGATGGCTGTTGAAGGGAAAACAACACATAATGTTTCATTTTTCTCATGCTAATTGCCTGCACCATGTATTCAAATTTTCCTTTAGAAGTTTGCATTTTACTTTCTTGGGAGAATTTTATGTTTTGTTTTATGAGAAACCTCCAAAAATAAACTTCAGTGTTCCCCGCTTGAGTGCCTAGTTTATCACCATTTCCTTTTGTGTTTGAATGGGCAATTTATATTTTCCCAGAGTCATCAAGGTGTCTGTATTTCTGATATTCATTGTTGGAAAGGATTGGTCCACTAGGAATATCTTTGATTTAAATAGGATCTGGTGGAAAGAAAATTGTACAGCCTTTGGCTTAATGAAATACACTGGAGGTCAAAGATTAAAGGTTGTTAATAGGAATCTGTTATGTTGTGGAAGAGACTGCTTTTCAGCATGGGGTTCATTAGAGCCCATATATGCCCTTCTGATGGGGGGGGGGGGGGGAAGCCTTTCAGGAATTGTCATTTCGGCAAGAAGAATTCTTGTGCATTGCAGTTCACTGCATTTTAACAAAACCTCCATTCCCATGGTATAGAAGTAAATTCTTTCTCAACCATGGCTGCACTGTGCAAATACATTAATTCATTTCTAACCTGAAGCCAAGGCTGTTGCTGACAGTTAACTGTGGAGATAACATGAGTGTGTCAGCTCTACACATTTAAAACAGAGCATAACCTGCAAAAAATTGCTAATTTAATTCCTAAGCAGAAACATAGCTGCTAAAAAGACATTCCCCGAATAAAAACTTTGCAATATAAAAACACCTACCAGTCATAATTCAATGCCCTATGTGCACACATGCTAAAAATACTTGAGAAATAACATTACAGTGCATGTGCAGTAGCCGTTTCCCTGAACGAAACCCAATGCTCAGTGGCATTAATTCACATCATGAGCTAGTTCAGTTAAAAAAGGCCAAGGTCTTATGTCTATAAACATGTAAAAAGTCTCAAACTATTGAACCCTGTGGGGGATTTTCTTCTGCTCTCAAAAGGGCAGACCTGAATCTAATCTAACTTTGTTTATATTAAACACACACATGCACTGCCACACTGAGACTTTTCAGGTTGGATTTCAGCCTACAGCAAACATTTAAAGTCATCTTGCTATATCAACCTTTGGAATTAAGGATTTGAAACCACGGAGATGGCTGTAATGTCACTTCTACCTGTAGTGTTGTGATGAGTCTTTCCTGCTATCCTATCTAAGGGAGGAATTCTGAGTGTTTAAATTTTCTTAACTTTGTTTAATTCCTCCTGAATATTTTCCCTCTTCTTCAGGGATATTTCCGTCAGAGGATGAAGAGTTTGTTTACAGGACTTTTTAGAGAGGCAAACTAGCAGAACCTGGCTTGCATGCAAAAACAAAACCTCAGTTCTGCGCTAACCAATACTGAGCTTCTGCATAGAAACTAGAATAGGGCTCTAGATTTAAAAACTTCCAGGGTGCAGCAAATGGATGAAACTGGGAGCACTGATTTAGCAGAGACTATGAGCGACAAGTAATAAGACATCAGAAAATCAACACTGAAACCTTAAACTTATCCCTTGGTTTCCTGCTGTATCTCAGGGTTCTTTCAGGATTCAGATTCTAGAAAATAGGTAGATACTTGTTTTCTCCACTGCAACGTCATAGCTCAGCTGTTCAGAAGAAGTGCCTCAACATACCACTCTGTTTGACTACTGCAGTTTGGTCAATTCCAATTCATTACAAAAGTTAAACGTGCTAAACAGATCCACTTCTTTTGAAAACCTGATACTGATCATCAGAGAAAATGGTTGAGAGTTCATGCTTTTTCATGGGCACTAATCCCTTGCTTTCTGGTTTGACTGAGTTATTGTAGAAAGTGCTCAGTTGCCATTATCTTGCAGAAGGTAAGCAGCTGCAGCACTCCTTACCTCTATGCTGTCCATCTGTACACTGATCAGAGATCAGCACCTGCTTGACAGGGGCAAGATTTCAGGATAGATACTCAAATTATTTTCAGTTGTGGATGCCAAATTAACCTAGAAGAGAATACTTGATGTTTTCCACCTTCAGCTGGAACAAATGAAATTAACATAGTTCAGTGACTTTCTGGAAGAAGATTGTCTTTTTATAGACACATCTCCCTGCATTTCACATTGAAATCAATCGATCAGCAGTTATGTTCAAGGACCACTTAAAGAAGTTTGTAGTAAGAGTAATATAAGCTGACTGACTGGGGCAATTTAGGCCATGGACTCAAACTTTTTCATAGCATGGAACGCATTTTAATTGTGTCTTCTGTTCACCACCTTTCCTGTTCACAATTGCATAGTTACCTCTTCAACAATTCATGATTGCATAATATTCCTATGATAAATGCAGCAAATACATACATGGAAAACTGACACTGGAGAAGAACTTAATGTATTTTTAGCTTTCTGATGCAATTTGGCAGCTTGGAATTAGGAGAACCAGCACCTTGTGACCAGCCAGCAATCTGCAGCCCACCTGCAGTGTTATGCAGACCAGAGTTTGGGAAATGCCAGCCTAAAAGATGATCTCTGAGATCCACAACCTTATTGTCAAGTAAAGGGAGAAAAATAAAAGCCTTATACTCTGTATATGTTGAGTCCTTTTCAGTTGTGTGTACCAAATAAGACTTGACACAAGAAGAGTTACAATACAGGCAGTGTACATGGGAAATTACATACACTTGCTCACACTCTGGGCATGAGCCACTTCACACACATTGTTTCCAGGCCCATTCTCCAGTAGAAGAGTTGTCGCTTTTTTCAAGTTTTGAACAGGCTGAACAGAAGCATACTGTGTAGGAAGCCCATCTCTTACTGGGAGAAGCTGGGTTGAACTGGAGTAGATTATGCAGTTGCGTGCCATGCATTACAAGTTTACTATTTTACTGTTTTTTCTCACCTATTTAAGCCAGTTTATTGATAATTTTGAACTTAACGTACTCTTCTTACTCTGCTTTTTTTTGTTTCAGAAAGCAGATAAGCAGGAGAATTCAGGAAGCTTAGAGGCTATTAGTGATTCCATTCCACAGCCTATGCCATTCCCACCTGCTGCTGTGAGGTCAGGTTCTCCAAAACTAGACCCTTCAGAAGTCTATCTGAAGTCTAAGACAATATTTGAAGACAAGCGTAAGTACACAGACCTCTTATGCTGGGAATATGCTGTAGCACAACAGGATGGGTTCTGTATTTCCTTCATGTACACAAGTCTTTAAACTTCGTGCTCCTCAGGGCATATTTAGAAAGAATATGAGGAAGTAAAATGACCATAGTCGTTTCTGTGATTATATCCTAGCTAATGATTCCATTGGAAATCACAGTTCAGCAGTCCGTCTGTTTTGTATGGATAGCATAGTCTGTTTACTAGCAAAGATTTAGAAACAGTGCATGAGAACAGGTGCAGATACAGAACTGCTGCCTAGCTATGATTTTAAATGTAATAGTATACACTGGATAAACCAAAGCCATTTGGCGTGCCAAACATGCCATATAAAATAAATACACTCCTGGGTGAGCTCGTAGGGATTAAAGTAGCCCCATAAATGACCAGTCAAGAATATGTTTTATAGTAAATAAGGGGGATACAGTGTCAGCAGATGGGCTGCAACATGAAAATAAACAGTTACATAACTACAAATGAAGCATAGCAGCGTCATCAAAGTCACAAAGGGCTTTTGCCTGTGAATTTCCCACTGTAAACAAACATGCTCCCCAGTGCGGTGTTTCAGCCATACATTTAATTATATAGCACTTCACAGAAATGCTGTAAATATGCTCTTAATTAGATTTGCGTTGTTTGTGTAAAAGGTTGGTTCTGGATAAAGCGAAAGTTTTGCAGGCCCAGGAAAAGCAAACACATGTTCATTTTCCTAAGCTGGTGGCCTGGAGTATGGCACATCTGTACTTTATCTTAACCTGGTACCCCAATAAGCTGCTGCTGCTTTTCTATTCATTTCAGTACATCTGACTCGAGAGAAAATTAACCTTAACATTTTCCCTCAGTAACACTTATTACCCAGCAATAAGTTTCATGCATGAAATGGGAAATCAGCAGTCAGGTTCTCTGACATTGACCTAATTAATATTACATAACTGTCTTCAACATTTTATTACTATTTAATTTCCATTTTCCCTATCAGCACTTTTTTATAATTTTGCAAACATGAGCTTTGATAATTGGATAGTACCATCCCTGCAAAGATACCTTGTAAGACACTTCTTAAGAAATGCTTCATTGAAATTTGAATTTACTTTGGCTATAGACAGGCTTATACGCACTTATTACATAATGAAACTACAATTTCTAGTTACTCAAATAAAGGTGTCCTGTTGTTTAACAATTGAACCATAGCAACAACTATAGGGCAGAGCAAAAACAAAAGTCAAACTAAACAAACTGGAGGCATAATTTAACATATTGAGAGTTAGTTAGTAAAACTTGATTGGAAAGTATGATAGGAAATTTGTATATCAAGTCATATATGAAGTCATATCTTGGTGTATTTGAAATGATGAGAGGTGGAACTCGCACTATTTTTGCTGCACCATATCTTGTAATATTTTTGAGGCGCTCTTGCCAAATTGGAAGATGTTCTAATTCTAAGCAGCCGAAGTAAACTAGATAGTTCAATTGTTTGTCAAATATGGTCCTGTCTGAGATGAACTGTAGATTGATAGATTCCAAAGCCAGAAGGGATGATTGTGACCTTATTCTGACCTCCTGTATAACACCGGTCATAGAACTTTTCCAAAGTAATTCCTAGAGCAGATCTTGTAGAAAAATATCCAATCTTGATGTAACAATTTTCAGTTACAAAAAATTCACTGCAACCCTTAGTAAATTGTTCCAATCATTAATTACTCTCACCATTAAACGTTTATGCCTTATTTCTAGTCTGAATTTGTCTCGATTCAACTTTTAGCCATTGGATCATGTTATACCTTTCTCTACTAGATTGAAGAGCTCATTATTAAATATCTGTTTCCCATGTAGACACTTACCAACTGTACTCAAGTCACCCCTTAACCTTCTCTTTGGTAAGCTAAATAGATTGAGCTCTTTGAGTCTATCACTATAAGGCAGTTTTTCTAATCCTTCAACCCATTCTCATGGCTCTTCTCTGACCCCTCTCCAATTTATCAACATCCTTCCTGAATTGTGGGCACCAGAATTGGACACAGTGTACCAGCAGTGGTTGCATGAGTGCCAGATTTGGAGGTAGGACAACCTCTCCACTCCTACTCAAGATTCTCCTGTTTATGTATCCCAGAATCGCATTAGCCCTTTTGACTACAGCGTCACACTGGGAGCTCATGTTCAGTTGATTATCTGCCACAACCCCCAAATATTTTTCAGAGTCACTGCTTCCCAGGTTAAAGTCCTCCATCCTGGAAGTATGGCCTACATTCTTTGTTCCTACATGTATACATTTATATTTAGCTGTACTAATACATATCTTGTTTGCTTGCGCCCAATTTACCAAGCAATCTAGATTTATGTAAATCAGTGACTTGTCCTCTTCATTCTCCCAACGTTTGTGTTATCTGCAAACTTTATCAGTGATGATTTTATATTTTCTTCAAAGTCGTTGATAAAAATGTGAACTAGCATAGAGTCAAGAACCAATACCTACGGAATCTCATTGGAAGCACACCCACTCAATAATGACTCCCCATTTAGAGTTACATTTTGAGACCTGTCAGTTAGCCAGTTTTTAATCCATTTAAAGTGTGCCATGTTAATTTCATATCACTCTAGTTTTTTAATCGAAATGTCATGCAGTACCAAGTCGAAGTACATTATGTCAACACTATTATCTTTATCAACCAAACTTATTTTATCAAAAGAAGATATCAAGTTAATTTGACAGGATCCATTTTTCATAAACCCATGTTGATTTGCATTAATCACATTACCCTCCTTTAATTCTTCATTAATCGAATCCAGGATCAGCCACTCTATTATCTTGCCAGGGATTGAGGTCCAGTGGACCGGCCCATAACTACCAGAGTCATCCCTTTTTAAAAATTGGCACAATATTAGCTTATTTATAGTCCTCAGAAACTTCCTCAGATTTATTGAAAATCAAGACTTATTGAAAATCAACATTAACTGTCCAGCGAGCTCTTTTAAAACTCTCAAGTAATCTAGACCTGCTGATTTAAAAATGTCTTACTTCTGCAGCTTCTGTTTGACATCCTCCAGAGATACTAGTGGAATGGAAAGTGTTTTGTCATCACCATAAGAATAGTGTGTATAATCTGTTTTTTCCCCCAAATACTGATCAAAACTATGTACTGAACACTTCTGCCTTTTCTGCATTATTTTTGATAATTCTACCATTTTCATCTAGTACTGGACCAATACCATTATCAGGATTATTTTTGTTCCTAATGTATTTTAAAAACTCCTTCTTATCATCTTTTACTCTGCTGGCCATAGATCCGTGTGTCCTTTTGCTTCACTTGTCAATTTTCTACAGTTCCTAACTTCTTATTTATATTCATTACTATCAACTTCCCCTTTCTTCCATTTTTTTTTATATATTTTATTTTTTATAGTTGCCTTCATTTTCCCTCTAAACAAGGTTAGCTTTTTAACCAGCATGGCCTTCTTCCTCAGTGAGGTGTTCTTAAATGATTCCCAATTACCATTCACTTTTCTAGTTAAATTCTTCCTCCCCGCTGATTTGGCTCATGATTGTTTTCAGCGTTGTGAAATTGGCCCTATTTGTAGCGATTATAGACTGCACCTTAATCCCAACCCATACAAACATAATGGTAGGAGGTGTTTTGGTCCCTGTGAAATGATGTTAGAGTGAAAGACATCTGCAGCTGTTTCTGGACATGCTCATCACTCCACATGCTAGGAAGATAACATCACTGAGGAATTGGTGATGTTCCTTACTAAAACAATCTGACCACTCTGTTTTGTCAATGGAAAACTACAAGCTTATAACTGGTTGCACAACTGTGTTGATTAAAGAAAAATGTAAACACATTTTAATCTTCTCTCCAATAATCAAATGTAACTTCTTATGCACTTTTCATATTTGTCTTAACTAGCTCCAAACACAAAGGATTTGGATGTTTTCCTGCGAAAACAGGAGTCTGGGTTTGGCTTCCGCGTGCTCGGAGGGGATGGACCAGACCAGTCAGTAAGTGAATTAAGTTGTCTGTTACCTGGACTTCAGGAGCTTGTGCTGTAGCTCTTGTAATATCTCCTTCACACGATCATTTTCATTTTTTTCCCATGTTGAGTTAAGTGGTTAAACTTTATTTCCATCTTCACCATAAACAGCTATACTGTATGTTGATATCATATTCAGCTTAAACAGCTGCAGTATGTTTTTATACTGCTTCACTCCTGGTTCAAGTTGGCTTTCTCAAAATGCTTTCAGAGCTAAGTTGCTGCAAATTTGGTTGCAAGTGGGCAGTAGATAATCGAGAACGGAAGGCAAAGACATTTGGCTCTGTCTTTAAGCTTTAGAGAAATAATGTTCATAGTACAAGTTCACACCAATCGACAAACTGGGAAAATGGGGCTTGGTGTTATGGGAGGATCTACAAACATGACTTATTTAGTTGAGCCCTAATGACCTTTAGTTGGCAGGGGAAACTTGGGGCAAAATTCCATTTGGTCACTCGCCATGAAAGCTGTGAAGACCCTACTGTCACTCAGTATTCAAACACAACCTGGGCCAAATTTACAGAGGTTGGCGTGAGTGGGGAGCTCATCAGCTTGGGAATGGCCTTCCACAAATTGAGGTGGCAACTCAGGTTAATTTGTCACGTGGAAGGAGAGAAATACATTACCCCAAATTCCTACAGAGGGAGATAGCCCCGGGTTCTAGCAGTGAAAGAACTTGAAGAGAAATACTTCAGCAGTCAGATGTTGAGCTAAAGCTTCGACAGGTAAAAAGAGTAAACGAATTGGGCAGGCTGGTTTAGTTATCTTTTATTCAGTGATCAGCAGAGTCCTTTGCCAAAGTGAGCAATTGTTGGATTTCTGCAAGCATCACTGGGATACTCCTCCATAGCAACACTTGTGTCTTGATGGAGAGAGAAGGGCCTCAGTGACAAGCCCATTAAAAAGTTGTGGTTTAGATTAGATCTGGGGGGAAAACCCTTATATGCATGTTTGGCACTTAACTTGCCCATGTTCATCCTGGTAGAGCAAACGTGCACTGCGTCTGTCCAGGGATATCTGAATGTGGCCTGGTTCTCAATAGAATGCTAATGAGTGACTGCAGTGAGGACCTATAGCAGTAGTTAATGAAACAAGTTGAGTGTGGAGCTTTTTGATGTGTTGTGTTAGACGAGATTTAAAAAAAAAAAACCGTTCTGGCTAAACAGTGATTTAACTCCAGTCCCATTAAAATCCAATGGAAGAAGATAAAATGGTTTATTACCTTTCTTCCCTTTCCTCTTCATGGTTGATTTCAGTCCCCCCAGGCTCTCAGTCACTTTCTGTTTGTCTAGAATCTTTCTTGGCGGCAGCAGTTCTCCATCGAGCCTTTATACCATAATTGTTCTGTCCTGAGAATGCTCTCAAAGATGGGGTTGGCACCAAACCTTTGCATGTTATAGCACCTAATCTTATTAATGGACTTGGCACCAATGCATGCTGGTAATGCTCAGTACAACATGCGTGTCAATTTAACTGGGAAATAAACAAGTGGAGAGGGCTTTCTGGCTACCCCAGAAAAATCACCTCTAGCTTTGTTACCGACTTGTTGCATTATTATGCTGCAGAAGGGAAGGAAGAAAGAAGAAAATTATAATCTTTTTTTAAAATAGTTTTTGTAAGTCTTTCACTTCTAGAGATTGGAGTTCAGATATGGTTTTAGGTCACCAATTAGTGAAGTTTTTTGGCTTCACTCTGGAGAGCTGTCATACAATTTGACTCAGGTGGCAGTCTCTGCTTCAGAGAGGAGGATGGAGGCAGATAGGCAAAGACATGAATGGAAATTCCCAGAGTCCCTATTCATGCTATGCCTGGCTTTAGGAAATTCTGCCCTGTTTCTCACTTGCCAAAGCACAGCTTCACCCAGAAAAGTAGGACTCTGTCCCTGACCATATGGCAGTGACTGCTCCTCTCCTGCCAACCTTCAAAGGTGCTCAAGCTTTTGGGATAGAGACACTGCTAGATAGCATGTCCTCTCATATGTAATTAAAATGCATTCTCCATTCACATCTGAGATCCAATGCCAGTTTGTTTTCTGACTTGCATTTAAAGGAAAGGAAGAACAGAGGGCTTTTTTTAGAGGAAATAATCAGCAATTTTAGGTTTTTTTTATTGTATTCTACTGTTTTGTTGCTATAGCAACTATAGCTGTGTTGGTAATAGTCATAGCAATGCCCTGAGTGCAATGTGAAGATGGGTTTTTGGAATGAACATGTTCTTGCTGCTTAACCTTGGACACATGCTGGACATAATTGTTTTTAATCTTTCACTTAAACTGAACTTTTTTCTAGCATATAAAACTACTACATGTTTCGTGCTCCTGTCTCTATCATTTAGCTGGTGTTTTCTTGGGAGGAAAGATGCAGGCCAAAGGGGGGTGAGGGCTGCAGCTGTTTGAATTCATGCTGTGATCACCAATACTTGAATATTGCAGATTTTGAGTGGCAATTTCTGAGCAACTGTGCTCTTAGGTTCTTTGCTGAACTTTAAATTCTACACTGGAGTCACCTTGCAGGTCTCAGTAATGATAATGTGTCTTTGTTGTGTTGATTGAGTGACACAGGCATTTCTTTTCAATAATTTTGAGTAATTTTTGATGCACAGAACAAATATATAAATAACACATGAATACACTAAAACAGCAAGACAAACAGGTAAGTGTACAAATACAGAGCTTAACCTACTCATGAGGTGGTGACCCTTCAGTTAATAGGAATTCATGAATAATACATGGCAGTAATAAAAACAAACCTTAAAATAAGATGAGCATTAAGTTTGAACGTCAGGAAGCTGGGACTGTCACAGTTTGATCATTTCTACACATGCAAATGAGGTCAGTCTAGTATGGCTTCTGTAGCGTGAATTTCTGCTAGATTTAGGTGGGGGAAATAATTTTTTTAAAGGAAACCCTGCAAAAAGTCCCTCTTTATCTGGGGATTCAAACATTACATAGTCTGTACATTCTACACCCCAGAACCAATGATTACACTCTGTTGACAGATCTATATTGGGGCCATCATCCCACTGGGAGCAGCAGAGAAAGACGGCCGACTCCGAGCTGCTGATGAGCTGATGTGCATTGACGGAATCTCTATCAAAGGGAAATCACACAAACAGGTCCTGGACTTGATGACCGGTGCTGCACGGAATGGCCAGGTGCTGCTCACTGTCCGGAGGAAGATCTTCTTTGGCGGTATGTGCCAGGTGTCCAGACTAAACCCAGTCCCACTAGGTTTGCCAGAGTCTGGTAGCATGGCCATTGGAGCCCTTGTTCCTGGACTTAGTGTAAAGGAATGTTTCCGCGGCCATAATCAGGTGATATAAAGCGGTACAGTAACAGAACTACTAGTACATCAGGAATGATGTGAACTCAGGGGGTCAGAGCCACTTCTGGATGAATGGGGTAACACAAAATTGTATCAAGCAGATGTTCTTGGAGGGAAGAGAATGGGATAAAAAAGGGGGCACCCATTTGCGCTGCGGCTCTGGAAAGCACTGTAATAGTGATGCTCTCTTGTTCTATAGTGCTTTTCATTGGAGGATCTTAAAGTACTTTACAAGCATTAGTTATTAAAACCACTCATGGCTCTGTGTACTCTGGGCAGTAACACAAACCTTCTTTCTGCATTACAACACGACATTCTGAGGTTTAAGTGCATTATTTAATTAAATGCAGAAATTAATTTTATAGTCAGATCAGCGTTCTGTAGGCAGTTCAGTGGCAATGGAATTTACAGATATGGAAACTGAGGTACAGAAGGGTTGTCATGTGGCTGAGATGTCACTAACCACATCAGTGACAGAACTGAAAACAGAACCCAGGAGTCCTGGCTTGCAATCTCCTGTTCTCATTAGTAAACCCCACTGCCTTTCATGGGCCTTTCAGTCAAGATAACTAGAACCATTCCTTATAAACTGAGAAAAAATAGGAAGTGTATCACTTTCATAACATCTTCTCTTTCACTGTCATGCAAAAGGCAGGCAGCTTGGCCTAGTGTGCCAAGTATGAGTCTGTGAGCCTAGAAGGTCCTAAATTCTAATTCCAGGCCGGTCGCTGACACACTGTGCAGTCTTTGACAAATCAAGTGACTTCTGTGTCACTGTCCGTAAAATGGGGATATCATCTACCTACCTCACAGGGGTGTTAGTGGTTAAAATTGTCATGGTGTTTCTCCCAGGTACCACACAGAAACCAGCCAAACCGGGAGGGGGCAGGGTCTCCAGTCACACTGTATTTCTATGTAGATTGCAGCCACTTCATAAGTCTGTCTTTCATTTTTTGTTCAAAGTGAAAATACGTAAAGTATTTAATTAGGTATTATCCACCTAGTAACTCTCACTCACTCATGCCCGTCACCCCAATCGGGGTATGGGCCGCCAACCACAGATCTCCAGAGTCCTCTATCCTGGGCCATTTGCTCTAGCTGGTTCCAGGTATAGCCCATTTTTATTCTATCAGCCTGAAGGTCGCGTCGCTGCGACCTGCGCCGTCTTTCTTGACTCGTACATGGTCCTCACGTTCCATGTACCAATGGTAATCCTCCTAGTTGCAAGAAGGGTAATCGGCTTAGTGGCTTCCTCACGACTTTCACCACCGAGCGTCATGCGTCTTCGAGTTGAAGGCCCTTCTTTTTCCAGGCTAAACGTCTCTGTTATCACTATTGTTGGCGTTTCTGTAGCAAATTAATTTTTTTTTTTTTTTTGTACGGGGTGGAGTTGCTAGCCCCACGCCCAACCCTCCTCCTTTATCCTGACTTGGGACAGGCAGATGGCCCCAAAGGACCTCTCTGGTGGAGTTACCTAGTAACTACAGATGTATTATATTGGTGCTGAACCTGGTGGTTGCTGCCAGCCTGTCATAGCACGGTGTCAGGAGAGCAGATTGAGCCAAGCACAGAAAGAGGCCATCTAAAGGCTCAGAAAAGATTAATCTAATCGGAGGAAAAGCAATTTTCTGTCTTTGCATCTCAAGTTGCATTGCCTCCCTGACAGTGTAATTTTGCCAATGTAACATGTTCCTGCAAGAGAGAGAGTCTGATTCAGAGATCTTGAAAAGCTTACATGGCTTCATCTGCATCAGGGCCAACTCTGCCTCTGGTCTTTGTTTATTTCTCCTTTATTTAATTTAAAAAGAAAGAAAGAAAAATCCCTTCATTGTACAGCTTTATTTTCCTCTGAATTCCCTGATGTGGCATGGTCCTCACAGGCAATGCTTCAAGACTGGGATTTTGTTAGTTTTCCATCGAAGAGGCTGGGCTTCAACATTTGAATTACCCTTTAAAATATTGGTACACCTTTTGAAATAAACAGTTGGCTCTCTGCAATGGAAATAACAATAGTCCCAGTTTTAAGGTGGGTTTCTGCCAGAGATCTTGTGCTTACACCACACAGGAAAATAGTGCTGCCAAAAAAGAGCCCCTGAAGAGACCACCAGGATTAGGCTAGCATTATTAAGGGCATCAGCAACTGAGCGCTACCTCTGTGCTGCTGCACACCCAGACTGTTCCCTTCTGAGTTATAAGTGTGTATTGCAGAATGGAGTTGGCAAACATTAAACTCTCCTATTAAACATCCTTAAACCTCTGTAGCAACTTCAGCCCAAAGTGTAAATGGTTCTACCCTGTATTCTGATTCCATCTGGTTTCAGTTGCCTTGTTAATAAGCCCCCAGTGGGAAGGGAGGTGCTTCTCCATTCTGTTAGTGATCTGATCATGTTTATCCTTGCAGTTATCCAGCTCCACAGCACTCTTACTGATTCTACCTTATACTTTATTTTTGTGGTGTTTGTAGTTGAGAAACAGCCAGAAGAGGAGGAGTCGCAGCTGCCCATTTCCACTCAAAATGGATCTCCCCGGCTGAACCAGGTAGAGGTCACAAGCAGACAGCCCCCAGAAGCCTATGATGTCCTGCTACAGCGGAAAGAGAATGAAGGATTTGGCTTTGTCATCCTTACCTCAAAAAACAAACCTCCTCCTGGCGGTAAGGGCTGACTCCTGTGTGTTGGTGTCACCTGCTCCACTGATGCCTGACCGGGGGAGATTAATTGGTTTAACTCATAGTTCCTCCTTCCAAAGCTGCAAGCAGTTATTGCCAATAGCATTCAGGGCTGGGGACTCCCAGGATATCCTTCTTTCCTAGGATGGTGTTTATTTTCCATATCCAACCACCTACTGTGCTGTGATCTGTCGTTTCACTCGTCGTACTGTTCACAACTTCAGTGGCTAAAGGCTAAGTCTGTCTCACTCACAAAAGGGAATATGTTTTCTCTCATTTGTACATTTTGTAGGAAGTTTTGCATGTGCAACAACTGAAGTGGGGGATGGAAATCACTCCTTACCAGTACAGGGGCAGGGGAAGAGAGAGAGAAACGTATCCTTGTGATTGGATGACTTTCAGAATGTATAAGGTGGTCAGATTGTGATGAGTGTGGGAATGGATGCACCGGTGTAGTCAATGGTAAATGCAGGTAAACAGAGTTTACCCACTTCTCATTTGGGGACTATGGAGCTTAGTTTAGATTAGTTTACCCACTTTTTTTACCACCACACCACTGGATGCAGAGAACAAATATGCACACACGTACTCTTTACACTCTCTGTACAGCAGTGCCCAATAGATACAATCAGCTATTGGGTAGTTAGTGCATGGATAAATCTCTTGCTAATAGAAGTATAGTTAAAAACTTAGACGTGTGACATCCATTCAGGGTGTGTAGCTTATTACTCAGGTCTCTGGCTTTCTCAGACCTCAGTATTTCGAAAAAAGCAATGGAGGAATTAGTCAGGAGAACATTCTGTATCTGCCTTGTGACATGTTACAAACTGGAGATATTATCCTAAGCAATGTAGCGTGTCTGAGGGTTCTAACTTGTGGATTTGTCTGATGGATCAGTTGCTAAGATAAAGAGCTGAGTGGACCACGTGAAAATAAAGAAGGTATCTTGTAAGTAGCAATAAGAGACAAGCTGCTTGAGGGAGGCATCTGAAATTCTCCCTAATTAACGGAAAGATTTCTGACCCCTAGCACTAGAGTAATTTAAAAGAAGTGCCCATTCTTTATAATCATATACATTTTTTTTATTGAGTGTGATCCTGGCTGCCTGACTCCCAGAACCTTGCCAGGCAGTGGTTATTAACACCACCTCTGCATAGACAGATGTGCCTACCTTTCACAAACTGTTGACCTTTATGGGATGGCTTCCACACTCTTCTCAGATACTTTTGGCCAAGTTTTGAGTAGTTCGGTTTTAAAATGAAAAGGTATGGTCAATCTATAACTAGGGCCGTTGGCTGGCATTGTTCCCCTTTGTGAGAATTGGAGGAATGGATATGGTTCTCCATTCGTAGAGAATGAAGAGGCTGGGCCTTGTAACACAAAAGGGATGCCGGACTGCTCAGTGGATTTACCCAGGGCACAGCAAGTTACTTTCTTGTTTTTTCTCCCTGAGATGTGGACACACAGGTATCTGTACCCCAGTGATCTGAAACACCTTACTTAAATCTTTTATGTCACCTGCTGTGAATCACTTTCCCGGTAACTGCCCTATTGATCCCAGAGCACTTACTATAACAATGACTTGAATGTTTGTGTGTGAGCAAAGGGATGCCCTTTCTTCCAGCCCAGACAAGTTACGTTGACATTTTGCTCTGCTTTATTTCTGTAAGTTTATTATACTGTGAAAGAGCAGAAATACAGACGAAAGCAGTGACTCTGAAAGAAAATCGTTCTCATTATTTTGTTGAGTTTACATGATATATATTTTGACTTAGAATGATTTGAAGTCTTGGCTAAAATACATTTTTAATGAAGTTTAAAACAAAGTGCATAGTATCAGTGAAGGTTGTGAAAGAGTGAACAGCTGTGGAGTTGAGTATTGCTACAGTACTAGCTCAGTACTCAGAGATGCTGACTTCTGTTTTATAAAATCATGTGCTATAGTAACACTTGGGGCAGGAGCTGTCACTCTCTGATGCTGTACTATGATTATGTGCCCTGTGTTAGCGATATGAAAAACTACCGCTTTGGACTGATTTTCTGTTGCCTTGTCAAAGTTGGATGATATTAGAAAAATGATGATTAATAAATAAGCAGAAGTCTACTGTGTAATCCTGATACTGCATCATTAGCACATTTTTGGCAGAATACCATCCGGAAATTCTTTCATCTAGTTGAAACTGCAGTGGAAGTAGGTTTTTGTTCTGTTTTTTTTTAAAATGGGAAACAGAAGATATCTGGATCCCTGTTTCAGCATTGGAAGTGCTAAGGTAGCAGTCCCAGGCTGTTTTTACTGCTTGTAAATAAGAAACATTGATATATCCGTGTATTGCATTATGCTGGAACCTCTTTGCCAGATCTTACATCAGAACGGCCAGACTGGGTCAGACCAAGGGTCCATCTAGCCCGGTGTCCGGTCTTCCGACAGTGGCCAATGCCAGATGCTTCAGAGGGAATGAACAGAACAGGGAATCATCCAGTGATCCAGGCCCTGTCATTGAGTCCCAGCTTCTGGCAATCAGAGGTTTGGAGCATGGGGTCGAGTCCCTGCCCATCCTGGCTAATAGCCATTGGACCTATCCTCCATGAACTTATCTAGCTCTCTTTTTAACCCTGTTCTAGTCTTGGCCTTCACAACATCCTCTGGCAAGGAGTTCCACAGGTTGACTGTGCGTTGTGTAAAGAAAGACTTCCTTTTGTTAATTTTAAACCTGCTGCCTATTAATTTCATTTGGTAACCCCTAGTTCTTGTCTTATGAGAAGATGTAAATAACACTTCCTTATTTATTTCTCCATGCCATTAATGTTTGTATTAGACCTTTATCATGTCCCACCTTAGTTATCTTTTTTCTAAACGGAATAGTCCCAGTTTTTTTAATCTCTGCTGTGATGGAAGCTGTTTTCCATACCCCTAATCATTTTTGTTGCCCTTCTCTGTACTTTTTCCAATTCTAATTGTCTCTTTTTGAGATGAAGTCACCAGAGCTGAATGCAGTATTCAAGGTCTGGGTGAACCAGGGATTTACATAGTCACATTCTGATATTTTCTGTCATATTTGCTATTCCTTTTCTAATGGTTCCTCATATTCTGTTAGCTTTTTTGACTGCCACTGCACACTGGGCAGACGTTTGCAGAAAACTATCCACGATTCCCATCGTTTTGTATATATAGTTGGGATTATGTTTTCCAATGTGCATTACTTTGCACTAAGGCTGTCAAGCGATTAAAAAAATTAATCATGATTAATCACGCTCTTAAACAATAATAGAATACCATTTATTTAAATATTTTGGATGTTTTCTACATGCTCAAATATATGTATTCTGTGTTGTAATTGAAATCAAAAGTGTACAATTCTCACTTCATATTTATTTTTGATTACAAATCTTTGCACTGTAAAAACGAAAGAAACAGTATTTTTCAAGTCACCTAATACAAATACTGTAGTACAATCTCTTTATCATGAAAGTTGAACTTACAAATGTAGAATTACGTACAAAAAAACCTGCATTCAAAAATAAAACAATGTAAAACTCTAGAGCCTGCAAGTCCACTCAGTCCTACTTCTTGTTCAGCCAATAACTCGGACAAACAAGTTTTTTTACATTTGTGGGAGATAATGCTGCCCGCTTCTTGTTTACAAAGTCACCTGAAAGTGAGAACAGGCGTCGGCATTGCATTGTAGCCGGATGTGCTAAAGATTCATATGTCCCTTCATGCTTCAACTACCATTCCAGAGGATGTGTGTCCATGCTGATGACGGATTCTGCTCGATAACGATCCAAAGCAGTGCGGACCGACACATGTTCATTTTCATCAACTCAGTCAGATGCCACCAACAGAAGATTGATTTTCTTTTTTGGTGGTTCGGGTTCTGTAGTTTCTGCATCAGAGTGTTGCTCTTTTAAGACTTCTGAAAGCATGCTCCACACCTCATTCCTCTCAGATTTTGGAAGGCACTTCAGATTCTTAAACCTTGGGTTGAGTGCTGTAGCTATCTTTAGAAATCTGATATTGGAACCTTCTTTGTGTTTTGTCAAATCTGCAGTGAAAGTGTTCTTAAATCAAACAACATATGCTGGGTCGGCATGAAGAGACATGTGAATGTTTAGCATATCTGGCACGTAAATACCTTGTAATGCCGGCTACAAAAGTGCTATGCAAACACCTGTTCTCACTTTCAAGTGACATTGTAAATAAGGAGTGGGCAGTATTATTCCTATAAATGTAAACAAACTTGTTTCTCTTAGCGATTGGCTGAACAAGAAGTAGGACTGAGTGGGCTTGTAGACTCTCAAGTTTTACATTGTTTTGTTTTTGAGTGCAGTTATGTAGCAAAAAAAAAAATCTACTTTTGTAAGTTGCACTTTCACGATAAGGAGATTGCACTACAGAACTTGTATGAGGCAAATTGAAATACTGTTTCTTTTGTCATTTTTACAGTGCAAATATTTGTAATCAAAAGTAATATAAGCTGAGCACAGTACACTTTGTATTCTGTGTTGTAACTAAAATCAATATATTTGAAAATGTAGAAAAACATCCAAAATATTTAATAAATTTCTATTGGTATTTTGTTTAACGGTATGATTAAAACTGCGATTAATCAAGATTAAATTTTTAATTGCGATTAATTTTTTTAGTTAACTGCGATTAATCGACAGCTATACTTTGCACTTATCAAAACTGAATTTCATCTGCCATTTTGTTGCTCAGTCACTCAGCTTAATGAGATCCCTTTAACTCTTCACAGTCCGCTTCGAACTTAACGATCTTGAGTCATTTTGTATCGTCTGCAAATTTGACCACCTTACTGCTCACCCCCTTTTCCAGATCATTTATTAATGTCTTAAAATGAACCCCCTGCGATATAAAACTGGGATATTTTACACAAGATAATTCATCAGTAGTTGTAACTCTACAATCCTGTGATGTTTTTTCTCATCACGGGTAGTAACTCTTACATAAATTATATTTAAAATGTAGGCCTTAAAAATGGGAGAAGAAATTAAAGACAATACAATTAAATCTTTAAATGGCGGTAAAAATTGAGAGGCATCAATGTCTGCTCCTTTATGGAAAATAAGTGTTTGCTAGCTCCTTAATTACAAGCCTGAATGGTAAATTAAGGTCTGGTTTCCAATGACACTCAGGTTTCTCAATGCTTGAGATTTGCTGTCAGAGTTTGAAATCTTGTTAAGTACATAATTCTGCACCCCTCTCTCTCCATTCACCATCCGTTCCCTTTCAGTGAAGCATGCCTAGGAGAGCAATTGCAATAAAGAAGTTAGGAAGAGGACAGACACACCTTCTGCCTACACTGGGCTTTGGGTGCACATAAGGGATTTCAGGTGAAATTTCAAAAATAAATTAATTAATGGAGAACTGGAAGGGACCTTGAAAAGTCATCAAGTCCAGCCCCCTGCCTTCACTAGCAGGACCAAGTACTGATTTTGCCCCACATCCCTAAGTGGCCCCCTCAAGGATTGAACTCTCAATCCTGGGTTTAGCAGGCCAATGCTCAAACCACTGAGCTATCCCTCCCCCCCCCGATGCTCTTCAGTTGTGACGGGAAGAGCATCAGTGAAAGGGATGGCTGGAACCAATCGATCTTTGGTGACAGTCTAAGGTAGAAATGCGAGCACTGCAAATTATGACCTGTACATATGGGGTTTTATGGGCAGCTGGTCCAAGAGCCATTGTGAGAGACTGTAAGGATCCATGCAGAGGGGAACCATCTTTGCTACACCTTCAGGGATCCAAGGCAGCATGGGAAGGCAGCATACTGACAGATGGGCTTTGATTTAACGTGAAGTTCCTCTGGCACCAGTGTATCGTAGCTCGGGCAGCACAATGGGCTGAGGTTTCTGTAGGCTTCCTACTGGTGCATTGGCCTCACGTGAGCTGTGGAGTGCAATTTGCTGTATTGACTTACAGATCATCAACCACCAACCTACAGTTTTCCATTAGCATCACTACAGATCTTGCTAGTTGGTAGAGTCTGTGGGAGCTGCTGGGGAGTAGAGATACTGGCTGATCTCTGCCAAAGAGATGCCTAAAGAAAAGTATTGTATTTCTGAGAAAAGGATGCTCATATTTTGCTACCAGTGGAACTTTCCTCTGCCCATTGGAAGCTTTTTAGTTCTGCCCCCTCCTATACCCAACCAATTGCTTGGTCCGGTCCTGGGAAAGTGACTAATGTGAATGAGGCCCTTAAAATTACTCTCCCTCTCCCTTACTTTCTGCTTCCCCTTCTCTTTCCCAGTCCCATTGCTCTGGCCCCTAAAGGAGTGTATTAAGGAGAGTGGCAGTGAGGTGAGCAGCCTGGATAAGCTGAGCTGGAGGGCTGGTTAAAACTTACTATATGGAAATCACCAGGGGGTTATGGATGCAGATCCATCTTGAAGCCCAGAAATGCAGAAGTAGGAAAAATCTTTGTCCAGAACCTTTACTTCTCTGGCTCACCTTTGCATTCTGTCTGACTACACCCAGCACCACTGTCATGAGCCATATTCTAAAGTTACTATGTTGTCTGAAGGTTTTATTTTTCTTCCCTAGTGTACTGAGGTATTGCAAGGTATTTGTACTGTACATGTCACAGGGTCAAAAAGCAATCTGTGCGCCTAGATTTGCCATGGCTGCATCAAGCTGGCTCTTTGCATCCTCCCGCCAAAGGATGCTTCAGTACTTCTAAGCAAGCAAGCAAGAACGAAAGAAACCAGCCTCTTGCATATGGCAGAACAAATTGCCTCAGAGAATCCTGATGCATAAGATTTTATTCATTCCATGCAGATGTGATCTGCTTCCTTTAAAGGTTTTCGTTTAGGCATAATAATAGCTCTCATGTGCCAGGGGAAGGCTCTTAGTGGCTTTGCCTGGTTAATATTTTTCCTTCACTCTGCTGGCTTTGCATGCTGCATGGGTTTTTTTGTTCTTCCAGTGGATCTGTCATAGTTGGCTTGTTTATGTAGAAGATGTCTGGCAAGCTGTAATGAAGGGAAAATGACCGTGGAGATGAAAGTTTCTTAGGAGAGTGTGCAGCGTAAAGCTGTTTGTAAACCTTGGACTTTGCACACTCCCTACGAGAGCAGAGAGATACCTGGGAATTGGAAATGGAACACACCTGTCCCCATGTATTCCAGACTGGAACTCCGTACCATGGCACTGCTTGGTCCCGTGTGTCATTCCTGAAAGAGGCACATTGGGGTCAGTCTTGTTAGGAATGACCATGGCCAACAGGAGGATCAGTCAGGCCAAGACTCCAGCGGCGTCTGAACGGTACAAATGCTCTTTGGTACCAGTGGGCTGGTAGGGTTCCCATAGTCACCCTTAGGAGCCTGTAAAGTTTCTCCCTTTCCTACTCATCTGCTCTTTTCTGTTTTCATGGTGACCCTCTTCCCCACTCCATGGTGATACCAGCTTCAGCAACCTATTAATCCATGCCTTCTTGATGCCTAGCTCTTATGGATCTACTAACCAAAGGCATTATATAAGAACTGGGTGGTATTCCACACTGTGTGTGCTATAGGAATGTATACTTCCTTCACAATTTAACTTCCATTTTTTATTTGCTATAACATTATATTAGCCATATTAATTTTATTATATATTATACATTATAATGTATTTATGGATGGACTACCTTTCTTTGAGATGCTCTGTAGGGCCACTGCCTTCTCCTCATTCACATCCCTCTAAAATACCCCCTTTCATGGCGATGTTTGTTTGCAAGACACTAACTGGCTGAGTGTGGCTCTTTCATGAGTACTTGGGGAATCCTCTATCTAATTTTTTTAACATTGATATTAAAACACTTGGTCAGTTGCCAAATACCTTATGTTGTTACCCCCCTTCCTTCTCTTATGTCTGTATGTCTTTTAGGTGATAAGGGACCATACCTTCTCTCCTGTTTGCATCGCACCTTGCACATTGTGGAGAATCTAAAAAACACATTCCAGTAACGCCCAAATATCCTGTGTATAGATTGACATCCTGCTCAGCACATCTGATGTAGCCCAAATAAGCCACAAAGCTGATATATTTATTTTGTTTAATTCATTGGCACAAGTAAAATTTATTTTAGATGAAAAAGTTGTTATAACTCAAATTTTAACAGTACATGACCCCTTATGACCTATTCTGTTTTAGTATAAAAACTGTACCCTGTACAAACCACAGAAGGACAAATCAATGAGTGGGGAGTCATTAACTGTTAGTTGCCTACTGATAGCCAGGCAGTGGTGGAAGTTGCTACTGGCAGTTGTGCCACCTCGAGGTGGTTATCCGGAGCCACTTGGCCTATAATTTCACAACTGCTATAAACTGAAGGAGGCATGGTAGGAAATTTATCTTGATAACCTGCGTTTCATAATGGCAAACTTTAAGATTCTTTTAAGGAAGGGTATGCATGAGTAATGTTGTGTTTCTTGTAATCTGCCAGATTGGTGCACCAAGTAACAGCTTTGGAAGTGGAACCAACAATGCTTTACATCTCTCTCTCCATTTTATCTAGTTACAGGTTTAGCCACACAGAGCAGATCAGAGGAAGTATTTTTTTTCCCATTCCTCTGAACATTTCTCTGCTTACATGCCTTCCTGTTTGTCTTGCAAATCAATGTAACAGGGTTGATTTATTGTCATTAGCTCTGATAGTGCCTCCTTCCATGTATGCAATGGAGAGAAAACTCTTTGTGAAATTATATGATGCCCATTTTTGCTAAGGCTCTTGATTTTAACTTGCTCTGATTTAAGGGTAATGAACCTTGGCTGCCAACAAAATGAAACACCACCACAAGATCCACTTCTTCTTAGTACTCAGACAGCCAGTATTGCACGGTGTGTGGAATTCTCTATACCAACCCCACCTACTGCCTGTTGTTAGCCAGATTCAAATGTGCAGATCACAGTGGCAATAATTAGCTAGTTCCTCTCAAGTTGGAAGCACTCCATGGTAGAGCCACTCTGATTTATTTGAGACAGTTAACAGCAATTGTTTACATTTGTAGTGCTTTATATAAATGAACAGTAACAGCGGCTGCCTATTAAGTAAAATGTATGCTGAAAAAGCTGACGTGCCTCTTCTTGGTTCCCTAGTGATTCCCCACAAGATCGGGCGTGTTATTGAAGGGAGCCCAGCCGATCAATGTGGGAAGCTGAAAGTGGGAGACCGTATCTCAGCCGTGAATGGGCAGTCAATCATAGAGCTGTCCCATGACAGTATAGTGCAGCTGATTAAAGATGCAGGCCACGTGGTCACCCTGACTGTCGTTGCTGAGGAAGGTAAGGAAAATGCCTGCTTATTTCTCCCCAGTGCGTACACTAATGGTGGCACAGCCTGCAGGGTGGGGCGTGCTGCCACGTGATCTCCAAGTATTTCTGTAATAAAATAGCTGCAAAGCCCCAGAGTCTGGTTTTATATCTTCTTAAGTGAACAAGCTGAAAAGGAGGTATTATAAAGACGTCAGAGGTTTTAGGAAAATAATCTATCTAGTGAGTGACGGACTGTGAAGCTCATTTCATTTGCTTGATGGAAGTTGGGCACAAGTGCAGAGGAGTGAGGGGGGGAGACAGATGCAGAGATGGTTTTATTGAAAAGACAAGATTCAGGCATTATGAGAATCAATGCTGTGGTATGGAGATGCCTCCATAGAAATCAGAGAGAGAGACGGTTCCTGACAGGAAATATTCCCCATCCAGCTCTAGCACTTCTTAGGGCTGGTCTACTCTGGAGGGGATTGATCTAAGATACGCAACTTCATCTACGAGAATAGCCTAGCTGAAGTCGACGTATCTTAGATCGACTTACCTCCCATCCTCACAGTGCGGGATCGGTGGCTGCGGCTCCCCCGTCGACTCCGCTTCCGCCTCTCGCTCTGGTGGAGTTCTGGAGTCGACGGGGAGCGCGTTCGGGGATCGATTGCTACCCGCCAATCCAGCGGGTAGTAAAGACGTACGCTTACTGTGAAAAAGATCTGATCCTTCAAGTTTTAGAAGGGGGAAGAAATTACTGCACTCTGGGATGCCAGTGAAAAGTTGGGTTGAATTTTTTTTTACCTTACTTGGCATCCTAGAGTTCTTCAGCAGGAATTCACGTCAGGAGAGCCCCTGCCCCAGAACTAAAAGGTAAGTTCCTACGGTGATATTGCCTGTGCAAGCCAATAGCGTGGGGCAGCTGTGCCTCAGGGGCCCTATTGCTGAACAGAAGTCAAGCCTAGCGAAATATCCAGTTCTTAGACATCCTGCCCTGCTGGACATGGTCAGTGTTTTCCTCTCACTCTGTGAAAATGCACAGATTTGCCTGATGCTGCATTTCCGGGACACAATCAACACAATGTTCTTCTAAAGATACATTTGGAGAAAACTCGCATCCTGATTACTGTTTTTTCTGCAAAGCCTCTCAGGTTGCTAGCAAATTCAGTGCACAAAAAGTGAAATCCTCGAGGCAGCAAAATGAATATTTGTGATGCCAAAGTCCCACCTTCGGAGACGGCATTTTCTAATGAAAGCTCCCATGCCACACTGCTTTCAATATTATATTGTTCCCTACACAAACAGTTCACTATAAATATGTAAAATCCAATCATTTGAAGAGAGAGCTTTTTTCCAGCATTGCTTACCATTGCATTTTTCTGGATTGCTGCTTGTAGGTTTAATTAAAATTGCTATAATTATTTTGCCAGTAAGATGGGTTTCTCCACTCTTAAATAATAAATACGTAAAACCAGCATGTGGATAAAGCCAACAAATGATCCCCTCTCATTTCACATTCATTGCAAATATTTAACATGGTATCTTGGCCTTTCATATAGAATATAAAAGACTTAATTTACCTGCTCATTAATGCTTGAAACAGAGAGGCTCTTTTTATTTATAAAATCCATTATATTTCAATGAAGCTTTCATTTTTATCAAATCTAATTCATTTCAGGCCAAAGGGATGCAGCTCAAAGCAATCACCCTGCCTTTAATGCAGTTGAAGTTTAAGTTGAGGTTGCGCTGAAGTCCATTTCTATCTAGTTTTTAATCAACCTTGTCTCTGAGATAAATTCCCTCTGCCATTAATATCTGAATATAACACCCCTTTTCACACACCCTGTAGAAACACTGATCTGAGCTTTTCTCCATTCCTAAGTCCTATGGGATTTGCAGATAAAATTCAGAGATAAAACATGGACCTGAGTGAGAATCAGTGTTGGAAAAAAATCTCAGTAACAGATTATAAAACCAGCCCAAAGTGACCAATAGGAGAAGCCATGTTGCTTGGAGATTTATATAATGTTTGGAGGAAATACAGAAATCCATGTTGCTCATAAACAAGAGTAAATTACTGTTTCTAAAATAATCACTGATTTAAGCTTGGGGAATGTAGTTCAGCTAATGGCACAGCTGCAGTGAGCACCAAGTTCCAGATCATAAAATACTAGGCAGGCACTATCCTCCTTAGAGCGGTCAGACCCTGGGGAAAGCCAGCGCAGACATTAGATCATGCAGACCTTTCAATCAGTTACACACTCTGGGAAGCAGATTGGGCTTTATAGGGTTGGTCGTCTGGCTACTGCTGCCACTAGTTAGTTGCACTGTGGATAACACTGAGGGGAGAGAGAAATACCCATTTAGCCAGAAGCTATTCAGCACCATAGTGCTCAAGCCCTGACTGACTTTGCTGTTCCCCCAATGCATCTTCTGTGCTGACCTCTTAGATTGACAGTGAAAATGTTTTCATCCCTCAGCTCATAGAGCTACAATGCAACTCTGATCCCTCCGCTGCTCCCCTCCAGCTTTCACAGATGTGTGCTCTTTTCTTTTCATCCTTTGTCCCAATAGTCTCTCTAATTCTAGAATAAGTGAATTCTGCTCCATGCTCCAGAAGACATTCTACAACAACCTCAGTCGTGTCCTAACCAAAAACATGGGAGAGCAGGATGAGTGGAGGAGCCGAGAATTCATGCAGACAGATGGCCTTTCTCCTACCTGTGCTTATTAACTAAAACTTTGAATGTACACCAGGAATAAATGTTGACATTCGTCTCTGGGGGGGGTAAAAAAACCTCTTCAAGGCATGTCCTAGCAATAAGGCCAGACAGCCCGTTGATGAACTCTGCAAGATCTGGTATAGCTGATAAATGCTGCAATCTAATGTAATAGTCTGTACTGAGAAGCAGTAATATGCTTTCCTTTACTTCAAGGTGCATAATTACTTGTGTTTTTCAATTATTACCCAAAAATGCATTTACCTAACACACACCTAGCAACATTGGGCTGGAATGTCTGTGACACTTTCCATTATAAGAACTTATTTTCAGAGTTTGCGACTGAACCATAAATGTTCATTCCAGGTTAAAACTTGCCCTTTAGGGTTTCTGAGTGCATTTTGGTGGAATATGGTTTGCTCTGCTGTTTGAGTGGCAGTCACTTTGTATTTCAAAAACGTAAGTTTTTTTGTAAGTCATTTGATCAGACCCGTACAGTAAATGTGTTTTCTGTGTTGGAGATAGGTTCGCTTTGTGAAGGCTACTAAGAGGGATTTTGTTAAAATATCATTATAGGTAAATTGCCTGTTAAGGCTCTTTGGGGAGAGGGAGAACATTCCGATATTCCAGTTTTGATTAAAATATTGAATAGACTAGTCCCTTTAATACAGCTTCAGGAACCTTTTGTAACCTTTCCCTGAGAGTTTGCCTGTGATAGATCTTCTCCATGATGGATTAGCAGATGTGACTGTCAGTAGCGCCTCCAGGAGCCTGGCTGGGTTGGGCTCAAACCCTGTTCACAATGGAGCTGGAGTAGGGGTGGGGCAGGCATCATGCTGATCTTTCTGATTATTTGTTAAATCACCATCAAATACTGTGGGGTGGGGGGGGACGATCCGCCTGTGGATCTGTTTAGTTCTGACACTGCTCCTGCCTTTACCAGGTTATACACAATCTAAATGTCTGTATGTTTGATTCACCAACTTAATCTGTGCTGTCATTCCTAGAATAAAGTAGTTTAGCTTAGCAGAAAGTTCCTCCATTGGGAGGATGAACTTCACCCAATACCCTGATTTATGGAACTGAATCAAGAAATCTCCACTCCTCCTCTTCAGCGCAGCATCAACCTGACATGTTACTGTCATCCAGCACAGAAGTATTGTGTATGCTTGGCCGTGTGGCTCAGACCTGCCCATTAGCTTATCCTAAGGAAAATGGAAATTCTGTTTCTCCTGAAATTTTAAATTAAAAGCCCTGCATTCTCACTCTAGGCAGCTGACTGCAAGAGCTGCTGTTTACCTAGAAGAGTCAGAAATGCTCAGAACAGCAATTCACTCTCTTGTGCTGTTTACTCCCCTCACGCCACACGGTGTGTTTTTAGAGGTCTGTCTGTAATTCTGTTTTGTTTGACTTTATTAGAGCACCGTGGCCCCCCTTCAGGAACCAACTCTGCCAAACAAAGTCCAGCCCCACAGCACAGACCTATGGGAACAACACAAGCCAACTCTGCAACAGCAGACAGGTATGATGCCTTTCAGACAGATGGGAACCAAAAATGAACAAAGAATGAGCCTGGCTGGTGTGATATCCAAGGATGACTTAGGCTGGGGCTGAATCCGTGCGCAGAAGTGAGGGGAAGGAGGGGCAGCCAACTATGGGTCACGTTCCCCATATCCTGCAGCAAGCCCTCATCTCAGTGCATGGGAGCATCGTCCGGGCATTGCCCTTGACTGCATCTAAAAAAGGGCACAAATGCTCCATCGTTCTGGGTACCTAACAAGGACTTTAAATTGTGAGGAATTGTTGCCTCAGTAATTCCTGTATCAGCCTGGACCTTATAATCTCATGTAACTGTTAGTGTTCGTGCTATGCACTGTCTTTGGCATATGTTGTGGGGAACTGTAATTGATACACAGATTATGCTCACTCATAGCTGAAGACTATTCCTGTTCTGTTACAGAAGAGGGTGTCTACTGAAGGGGTTGAGGACTAAGCTGGATAAGTTTATGGAGGGGATGGTATGATGGGATAGCCTAATTTTGGCAATTAATTGATCTTTGACTATTAGTGGTAAATATGCCCAATGGCCTGTGATGGGATGTTAGATGGGATGGGATCTGAGTTACTACAGAGAATTCTTTTCTGGGTGTCTGGCTGGTGAGTCTTGCCCACATGCTCAGGGTTTAGCTGATCACCATATTTGGGGTTGGGAAGGAATTTTCCTCCAGGGCAGAGGCCCTGGGGTTTTTTCACCTTCCTCTGTAGCGTGGGGCACGGGTCACTTGCTGGAGGATTCTCTGCACCTTGAAGTCTTTAAATCATGATGTGAGGACTTCAATAGCTCAGACATCATTTAGGGGTTTGTTACAGGAGTGGGTGGGTGAGATTCTGTGGCCTACGTTGTGCAGGTCAGACTAGACGATCATAATGGTCCCTTCTGACCTTTAAAGTCTATGACTCTATGTCTAGGAGAAATTGGAAATGTCATTCTTGTATGTCTAGGCTGTTCAGGGACCCAATAAATCAGGAGGCAGAGATCTAAGACCAGCTCTGATCAGAGATGATACTCCATCCCTTCAGCACTTTTCTCGGACCAAGGGGTGATTACTTATGAGTGGAAATCACCCAATAAAACCTCAATCAATAAATGGTTCATGAGATCCTGGGAGATGCTGTCAATGGGGAAAATATTCACAGGGATACTCTGTTTCACAGCCAATGTATCAGTTATGTAGCACAATGAATAGATGGACATGCTGGGTTTTTCACCTATTTTTCCCATATTAGCATTACCTTTATTACATAATTCAGCAGTACCCTACTTACCCTGGGCACTACTGCAGGTAGCTGTTTGGATGATCTTCTCTTACCTGCTTTAATTAAAATGAACATTTAAAAATTAAAAGTTGTCTTGATGCTGTCACTGCACAGTTTAAACCCATTCATAGCAGTTATGTGGCCTTTTTCTAGATGGTGCACACTGATTTTTTTTTTTTAATCATTATGATGATGGCAAAGAGTCTGGGATTAAATCCTCAACAGTGATTCATTTCCTGGATTTTGCATGTTTGTTACATTACTCAGAAGTAACTGATCATGTTCTGTCTGTGTGTGAATTGGGGACACTTCATGCTCAGGATAAACTAAGCATTATATACTGTCGAAACTGTCTCACGTGTGAGGGAAGTGTGCAAAGAGAGAAGGGTTCCCTCCAAATGAGAACAGAGGTTAAGACTGAACTGCTATTTTTTGTACTCTTTATAATCCTTGGGTTCACAGAAGACCCTAGTGTCAGATGTCCCTAACTCAGGAATGAAATAGCTGACGCAACTCCTTGTGCCAAGCAGTAGGTTAAGGTTATAAATTACAGATGATGAAGAAACAACTGTTAAATACCCTTTTAATTGTATAAGCTTTGCATGAGAAAACTATATTGTTGTACAACTGATATGTTTCTTGCTGGTCCATCCAGTAGTAACTGTTAGCAAGTCGTTGCTGCAGATTCATTCAGTTTCCATGTAAATGTGACCTGAGTAACTTAACCTTTCCTTCCATCAATTTGCAGGGGAGTCACAGAAGATGAAGCTGGAAGAGAACTTTCCAACAGTTACAGGCTTCCCTGGCCTGAGCACAAGCACTTGCCCCAGCCCGACGGCGGCGCTCTTTCCATTGTAGGCAGCCGTCATTCTCAGGTAGACACCTATCCTGAGGAGCAAAAAGACTCTGCAAGATCCTGGTAGTGCTGAGGCCCTAAAATTCAACTGCCACTGACATCTGTATGCTAATAGTCTAGGATAACCTTTCCCTTAGGAGATATGGTGTTGAGAAGATATTCTTTGTTATGAATGTGCTGACTAGGCATGTGTCAAACAGTAGGGAGGATGTTTTGCTAATACTTAATACTTTAATGTTGTTATAAACTTAGTCTAGTTTAATATTGCTGATCATTATAGTTATAAAAGAAACAACAAACCTTTGAAACGGAACTACTGTAACATCTTGGGAACATTCTATATGGAAAAACATTTCATACATATTTAGGAATCTTAGAATTAAACTGCTCTGCAGATTTTGGCTGGGTATAACTCTGCCTCATACCGAATCATATGATGTGAGTTTGTGACGTGTCAAATTCAATTGCATGTTGCACTTAATTAAAACCACATCCCTTCATAGCTGTGTATTAAAACCTGCCTAGTGTGTGAAACTGAAGGGCTTTCTCTGGTTTTATAAAATACCTTTCCTGAAAATGTAGGGGAAACTAACAAAAGTTAAAATTTCTCAGTCCACAATTCTTCATCTTGTTTATCTCGTTTCTTATGCAGAGTCTTGGCTGTTCTCCAGTAGAACTGGAACGAGGCCCTCGGGGTTTTGGATTCAGTCTTCGCGGAGGAAAGGAGTACAACATGGGCTTATTCATCCTTCGACTTGCTGAGGATGGGCCTGCCATCAAGGATGGAAGAATTCACGTGAGTGTCAGATCACTGATGAATTCAAATAGGTTAGGCTCCTCAGGATGTTCATTACCCAGTCAAAGAATTTGCTTCCCTGTAAGTGGTTAGTGTCTCCCTGCACACACACAACAGTTATTTACACTGCTGCCGATCTAAGAGTTGTAATTGCAGAGAGGTAGCAAACTGTGTTAATAGTTGTAATGTTTCAGGAAATAAAAATCCCAGCAACGTGTTAGGGGGAAAGAAAACTGCTCTCTGTGCACCACTGCCACTCCCCAAGAAAGCTGGACACTATTGACTCTAAAGACATAGTAATAGATGTTTCCGACAATGAATTTTCTCTATAGACAGTAGTTTGCCAGAATGAGTGGTTTTTAGAAGCCCAGACTGGAAATAGCACAATGAAATGCAAGTCTGTTGGACGGTTCCCAGAGTCCAGGTAAATGTGGGTTTGTGAGAGCACCCAACCTCTGTGTTTATGCTGAGCTTTCATTGTTCAGCATAAAATTTTAAAATGGTTCCAAACCAAGTGCCTTCCCTACCAACATATCCTAATGTTAATTCTTGTGTGTCATGTCTAAGAATCCCACTGTTTAAATATTGTCTCCTAAACAAACCAAATATATGCAAAGGGCGAAGGCAGCGCCACAACAGTTGGAAACCAAACACAGTTCTGTAATTACTGTCCATAAAATGACTTTTTACTGGCTGGAGCATGGAACTGAGAATCAGAGACTCTTTTAGTTCTGATTCCATTCCCGCCAGTGACATGTGGTCTGGCCCTTTACACAAGTCACTTCACCTCTTTCTCTGTCAGTTTTGTAGTCTGCAAAGTGAAAGTAGTAATCGACTACTTTTGAGAGCTGATGTCAGGCTTAATTGGATGCAAAATTCAAAGTGTTAACTTTTATTGTGCTAATTCTTAACATTTAGTCGTTAGTTTTTCTTATGCTTGGGAGATTGCTTGAGTCTTAGTGTTGCTTCTGTTTTCTCTTGTACTGCTCTTTCAAGTGCGATTATGCTAAGCTCCAGACCTTGGCATTCAAGTCACCAGCAACTGAAGACTTCCCAGCTGCAAATCTTGGACTTTCATTGGAGAAATTTCACAGCAATAAACAGAATCTAATGTATACAATTCCCTGAACTCTTGCTGTGTTCAGCTTTATAAATTCCCAATCTACTGGGGACACATAATATAACTCTTTGGGCTCTGTTCTCAAAAATGACATCAGCACACTTATCTGGTTTCTCCTATGGATCTTCTGTGCCAAAGAATGGGTGGGCTGTAGGGTAAATTTGACTGTGGGGTATTCATAATAAAACAGTGTGAGGATGAATATTTGAAATTTGGAGCTCATCTTTCTTTCATTTTACTTCTTATGTGATATTTGCATTTCTCCAAAGATCTGGTAGGCCTGGCCAGATATCATGTAATAAGATCTCTTCCTCCTCCCAACAGATAGAGATAGGAAAACAAAACTGTGGTGTCCTCCCTGTTCCCCTTCTCAAGGCACTTTACCTGGCTGATCACACCCAGCTTTCCTGTCTCCCTGCAGGTGCTGATCACCTTCTGGTCAGCTAAACTAGGGGATACATTTTGTTCACGGTTAGTGGTTTTAGCAGGGCTTCTTCCACTGTAGCAATCTGTATGGAGCAGCCCACTGTTATCTGCTTCCTTCCCCTGCTAGAGGCAAGTATTGTTCCATTTCAGAGCTCCATGCTGACTGACTGACATAGAGGGTCCAGTCTTGGGTAGGCTGTTTCCCAGAGGACATCAGTGAATTAGCTGGGTGCCTGCACTGTATGGGAGAGGCATATTCAGCTGTGTTTAAAATGCTGTTTCCATGCTTGAAGCAGTAACAGTTTCACACCGGAACTATAGCACCCTGAAAAATGAGTTCATAATGGGACAGCCTCATCTCCTGTGCCCTGGCAGCAGGTATGTGCCCTCCTCCAGCCCTTGGAAGCGAAAACGCTGGTGAATTTGCTTTCCATGTCCACTGGGCTGATCATGCCTATACACTGATAAAATGGGGACCTATCTATCATAGTGCAGCTCCACCAGTGGTGGCAGCAATGGAAGCACTAGTATAGGCAAACCCCTGAGTCCTGTCTGTACCAGTACTGCCATTGGAGCCATGCCCCACTGGGAATCTTGAGTCCTGAGGGCCAGCAAGGCCTAAGCGGTGTCATTATTATACTCCATGCATTGGAAAATATTTGCAACCATCTCCTTCATGGCACCTGACTCTCTTGCAAGGGCCACTTCTCATAGCTTCTGTTGCAGAGGTCAGCGGGATGAATAGAATTAATACTCATAACAAAACATAAGGAGTGATGTCAATGAAAACTGTGGGAGCAGGTTGTAGACTCTGGAAACAGGAGCTACCTCTAGATTCTCCCTGGCCAGGGCAGAACGTCTCCGTGCCTAGATAAGCTTGTTCACGATTCTGTGCTGTCCAGTCTTTCCCAATTCAACCACAAAAATGGCCCTAGGCCTTTCCCAGCCCCAATTTAAATACACCTCTACCCCGATATAACGCTGTTCTCAGGAGCCAAAAAATCTTACTGCGTTCTAGATGAAACCGCGTTATATCAAACTTGCTTTGATCCGCCGGAGTACGCAGCCGCCCCCCCCCGAGCACTGCTTTACCGCATTATATCCGAATTCGTGTTATATTGGGTCCCGTTATATCGGGGTAGAGGTGTAATACTTTCGGAGGGAGCTTTTCAGATACTGACACAAAGGAGCTCTAATAACCCAGTTTGTAGCTGGTTTGAACATTAGATGGTAAAACAGCACCTTTACCTTGTGTTTTCCCAAATGGTTTTGTGTCCTCCTTCTGGTTCATTTATTATTGTATTAGCTCTCCATGATCATAGGGTTCTATGTGGGACTGTTACCTTCTTCCGTAGCATTTTATGTAACTGATCTAAGTAAGATACGTGCTCTTTAAACTGCAACTTTTATGTAGTAGTGACACCTAATGGAAAATCAGTTTAATTGCAAGATGAATCTAATGCTCTTTCATGGGTTAGAATCCAAATGCTTTCTGATAGTCTGACATCCATTATCTGATACGTTTGTTAATTTGCATCAAAGTCCTTAAAGCTGGTATCTCACTAGTCAGGAATGAGCTAGTATTGTCATACAGTGAACTCTCTCACTCAGAATAATAAATCCTTTCCTTTCCTTTATGGGAAACCTATGGGCAACCCTCTCAGCTATATTAATATAAGGGTGTTTGGCGGTTTATTAATTTTAGAGTAATTACCACATGCCTTATAACAATCTATTTAAGCACCTACACAACGTGATTAAGTATCTTCATGGTGCAAGTCTTTATAACAGAGCATCAACAAATTACTTTTATGGAGTGAAGATGTACTCAAGAACATGGATGTATTAAACATTTATCAAATGGAAAATTCATTTCAAGTAACCTGAGCCCTTTAGTGAAGCCAGCTTGGCAGAATATCGACATGAAAAATTCACTGACCAGCCAGATGGTTGAATTATATTAATGTTATATGTTAGTGGCAGTAGGAGAGTAGTGCTAGAGCTGAGTGGGTTTCAGATAATGGAAGGGACTAGGGAAAAGGAAAGCTTGGCTTGAGCTATGGCTTTTCCTATATTGAATAAGAATCCAGTTACAGTAGCAGTGCTTGATGAAGTTTAATCTGGCTGGTATTGTCTTTTCAGGTTGGTGACCAGATTGTTGAAATCAATGGCGAACCTACCCAAGGTATCACTCATACACGAGCCATTGAGCTGATTCAAGCAGGAGGAAATAAAGTTGTTCTTCTTCTGAGACCAGGGACTGGCTTGATACCAGATCATGGTAAGTTACAGGTTGTACCAATTTGTCCGGAGGGGACGGGGGGAAGGTGGTAAAAAGAAATGTGTGTTGACGAATGTCTAAAGAGGTTGGATGCTGTTGTGCATGCACTAAAGCTACTTAGCAATAGCCTTCCATTTCTGTTGACTTTCAAGCTGCCTGTTTTCATACAAGCAGAAATAATGTGACCAGAAAAAAACCAAATCTGTTGCCATGGAATAGTTATTTTACTGGAAAGACAACACAAAATGTAATGTTATTGCAAGTATTCTTTAGGCCATGTTTTGTTCTGATGATCCCATCCATCTCCAACTTGATTTCTGTGCTCCTCTACACATATTATAATTAAAGACACAATTTGCTTTTACACTTGAATAAAATCTCATATGGTATAGGGCTTCTGTCAAGATGATTATTTTTGTGATGCTTCAGTTTCTCTTATGAACTTAAACTATAAAATGTTAAATTTTTCAAAAACAAAACTTCTGAACAAGTGAAGGTTTTGCTCTTGGAATAGAAAACTTTAATTGTGACTTGTTTTTTGCATATAAAGCAGCAAAGCACAAATCTATAAGTAAATTGCTTGGGCAGAAATGCCTGCAAGCGCTTCAACTGAGTTCAACTGCAGGGCATGCTCCAAAATCAAAACTATTTGTGACCGTCAGTCTTTCAAAGCAGAGCACTTTGAGAACAAGAGAATTTATTCCTCCCTATGCCAATTATATCCTTTTAACCCTTCGCAGCTGCTGTCAGGCTTTTGACAGGAAAATATTTAAACCGTGTAAGGATCCTTCTTATGGCAGAATAGCTCTGTAGTAAAATTGGAATGGTTAGATACAGAGCCACTTTCCTGCCGTAAAAGCCCATGACGTTCGTAAACAAATTAAAATCAGACAACTTGAACCTTCAAGCATAGCATAGCCTATGAAAGTTTGTAGCATTCTATTATATGCAGGCAGGAATCGACCTCCACTTAAGAGAGATGAAATTGCTCAAAAATGTTTCTTCCTATATTTTTCCCTTCTCCCCAATGAACTAGAAAATAACTTCACACCATGGTCCTAAAGTACACTGCATGGTACTATCAGAGCAAATAGTACAAAGAATAAAAGCAAAGAATCTCTGAACTACAGGAAGACTTATTGTCGTTAGTATTTTGAAAACTTAAAATAGATCTCCACTCAATAAGTGAATTCCAGCTCTCTCTATTGCCAGTAGGTATTTAAGCTTACAATAACAAACCTAAGAGATCTGTTTTGGTTTTTCATGCAGTCATAAATATTTGGCACAGAAGTGTGCTGCACTTCATAACAATAGCAGGCATCAGTAATATTCCATATCTCCCTCCCTCCCTGAGCTCCGCCAGGCTTAAGTGCAGTAATTTAGGGGGGAGGGGAGGGGCTCTTCCATACTATCACTATGTTGTCTCTTGTGTTCTGCATTTGAATCATACACATCTAATGAAATCTCTTGCTTTCTGTGATTTTTTTGGTATATAGTCCTGGGCTTTTTCTCTTCCTCATTCAGGTCTGGCTCCTTCCAGTTTGTGCTCCTACATGAAACCTGAGCAACATTAAGGCTTTCAGTGCTTTTCTTGGTCTTTCCTTAAAGACTTGGTAAATCTGCATGTCTTGTGATTCATCTCTTTTTTTTTTTTCTTTAAGTACAACGCTATAAATAATAACCCCACCTTCTCCCTGTTTTCAGTTTTCTTTTGGCATCAATTGAACATAAGAACGGCCGTACTGGGTCAGACCAAAGATCCATCTAGCCCAGTATCCTGTCTACTGACAGTGGCCAATGTCAGGTGTCTCAGAGGGAGTGAACCTAACATTGCAACAGTTTAGGAAAGATTTTTAATTTCTGATTCTGCTACATGAGGCCTACAGCTATGCTGAACCTCCACATTCAGTTAATGCAAACCTCACAAGCCCTTACCAGCCTCAAAGACCTTACCAACATCCTTAGCCGTATTTTTCCAAAAAATTGTTAGCTGTAAACTTAAATTTTTAGCTCACAGAAAAGTGAGGAAATTGGTTTTGTTTAGTGTGTGTGTGTGAGTGATGTGATATAATGTAAAAGTCTGTTTTAAAAAAAACTGGTGTTTAGATCACATTTTGGAAGTTTAATACATTTAGATAAAAAAATCATTTAACCAATATTCACACAAACATTTGTCACACCATTCTGCTTCTTCACTTCCAGGTGATCAAGATAGTTTTAATCCATCATCCTCAAATATAATATATGATGAACAGTCACCATTACCCCCCTCTGCAGTATGTGATTTACCAGTACTGGAAGAAGCTTTAGCGAATGTTCACGTATCTGAGAAACTGGAAGAAGCTAAGAACACTGTGCCTGAAAAGAAAAGCACTTTAACTGAAAACCAGTCTGAGCTGAAGCATCTGTCTTCTACCCAGAAGCATATGAAGAGATGGGACCAGCCTACCAGTTTAGGGTATAAGCGGTCAAAAAATTTAGAATTAGTAACTGATGACCTCATTAGGAGAGACCGATCTGAGAGTCCAAAAAGATTGGGCACATGTGGGGAATCGCAGCAAGCGGGGCTCCACAGTCCGAGGAAAGGTGAGAGACAAAACACACCCAGCAATCTCTCAGACCAGTCTGAGCATCCCAGGAGAGGTAATACACACTCAGAAATCAATTTAAAAGAAACTTCCAGAGGAAGCCAAGGCAGATCTGCCAGTCCCCAAAAGCATCCCAAAAAGGAAGAAAGTGGGGACAAATCAGACAAGTTACTAGAGACTCAAGATAAAATAGCTGGTGGTGGTGATATTGAGATTATTGAGCGGTTCAAAGATGGAAATGAAAAATCAGGAGTAACACAGGAAGACACAAAGCAGAACATTGCTGGAAAGAATAAGAAGTGGTCTCAAGAGAGAAAAAACCCAAAAGCAGATGAAAAGACTCTTCCATTAAATAAGGCCAATGAGCCTAGGAGAAAAGTAGATGAAGATGAAAAAGTAAAGAAAGCCAGTGCTGGAGAGCCAAGTTCTAGCAACTTCAAAACTACAAGTCTTTCTGGTGCTTCACAGCTTTCCAAGGAAAAAAAAAGTAGGCTCGAAACACAAGATCCAGTTATTCTGAACAAAGACCACACAGAAAAAGACTTGGAGCCAACTGATGAAACCAAAGATGATGGAATTTCAAAAACTGAATGCAGCTCTCCAGTCAAGAAAGCACCAATAACTCCTGGACCTTGGAAGGTACCAAGAGCAAGTAAAGTCACAAAAGCAACAGGTGTCACTGAAAAACGGGTCTGACTGACAAACATTTTTAGAACATGTTTTAATCAGGTTTCTAATACGGTCAATTAAACGCATCTTTTTTCCACAAAGTTGTCATTTTTCAGAAACTAACTCCAGAGGCTGGACAGTACATTTGATTTGTTCTTAAAATTAACTAAGCTGCATGAAGGACCTTTCGGATTGCTTATAAGCAACTCTCTTCCATAAGCTGCTATCCCCTCATCCTTTTGAAGGCAGTGTCCTGCTGCTCTCTCAACATTGCACTGCTAAGGCTTTCTCAGATAGTATTGTGAGTTTCTGAACAAACTTTCTTAATGCCTGTATTGCCAATGTGATCATGACTCACTTCTTGTTCTTGTGCCAAGTTATGTACTGTAGCCAATCAATTTCATCCTCCTTGTACGTTTTTCCCAGACACAGCAAAGCCAAGATTTTGTTTGAAAATAGCTATTTTCTCAAAGGCATGTCGCATGTTTATATAGGGGAATAACTCGAGTTCTCACAACTTCAATAAGAAGGTGAGTGTGCTGGTTCTATTAACTCTAGGGCAGCAAATGAGCCACTGATGCTGCCCCACTGGCTTCTTTTCTTAAAAGTTCCTAATACCTAATGTGACATTACTTAAAAAGAGAATTGCATTTTGTTCTGATCTATGGGGTTAGTTTTGCTTTCTGAAAATGTTTTAATTTGCTTAATTCGTTTAAGGTAATTATAGTAACTATCTGCAAAACACATACTGCAAACATAATTTTGAAGACTAAGTGGTGAAATCCTGGCCCTGTTAAGTTACTGGCAAAAACATCCATTGACTTCAATGGGGCCATGATTTTACCTTGTCAGTTCTTTAAAAATAAGGAATGGACTTGGTGCTATGCTTTCAACCTCCCTCTGGTACTGTATGTCAAAGCACCACATACTGTATGTTTCAAAAACACTTGGAAATGTCCCATCTTTACTTGTAAAACTAAAAATTATGTAAAAGCAGTATTTGAAACAGCAAACCTGCTGTTGCAAACACAGACAGAACCAACCACAGAGTCTTTAAAAAATCCCTCTGACCTGTGCCTGCTATTAGAAATCTCCTGTGTTTTATTTGTGTCTAATTGCTTTTGGTTGAGTGAGAAATAGATGAAATACAGGGTACATGAGACTTAATATCTATTGTTTGGGCTTTAATATGTATTTAAATGTTGAGGAATGTTAACAAGATATTATTATAGCAGTCTGCAGAAATTTCATGGATTGATTTACTCAATAGCATTCTTAATGGATTTGATTTCCTGACCTGTGCTAGGTTTTCAATGACTGAAAATAAACAGTAAAAGGAGCTGGGCCAGTTCACAAAAGCAGAGGAAAAAAGGTAAGGAAAGTCAAGATCAGTTGCTGGACCCTCGTGTTAAACTAATGACTTGTCCATTAAAAACATAACTGAGCAGCTGCTAAGTCTCACTAAACTTAAAAAAATCAGTTCTGACTTGAAGCTAGAAACTTTTGAAATAGACAACTACTTAGCAGTAGGCTTAAATGAACAGTTCTAAAATAAATAGATTTTAAAGCACATCTGAACTGCCCTCTGCTGCTTCACATTTTATGAATCCATCAGTTTGCTGTAGCATAAAGTGTACAAATCCTCAATATTGTAGAGTTTGACTGTGAAAATATTTCAGTTAGCCTATGTAGATATTAATCCTGTATTCTTGGTTGATAACCCTGTGGGATCCTCTTTAAGAGTTGTATGCACTTGTTCTAACCATTGAGAATAGTACCAAATTCAGAAATTTAATACTAAGATGAATTAGCACCATTTCAATGGTTAACTGTCAGCAAGTACACATCCATCCAAATGCTGTTTTCTGATTGTTAACATTGTGACCTGCTTTGGTGTCCTCTGTTTGAGTCTTTTCTAGAGAACTTGTACCTGTACTTACTGTATAAGATGACTTAGCAATGTGGCCTTGGAATGCTAAGCAACATATGGATGTAAATGTTTATATATTGTACAGCACCTTTATATATACACTTCTGAGGTTCTGACTAGAGAGACCTGTAAATCGCTCATTATTTTTTATATAGATATATTAAAAAAATTCCCATTCACAGCCTGTTCATTCTTGCACTAAAATGTTAGCTGTAGACTCATTTTACAATGATGCAGTTTGCACTAACTGTCTTTTAGCTAAATATACAGCCCAAGTTACCCATAAACATCCATATTTTCCAATGATCAACTGCATTTGTCATCTGAAAGTTACCTTGTCTCCCTTTTCAAGTAACACTCAACCACAGTCCTGCAAAATATAATACCAGCTGTTTGATGGAGTTTGCTTCCATGGGTTTATTTGTATTTTAAATGTCACTTTTTACATTTTTACTACTTTTCATTGTACAGAAAATAGCTTTGCATAAACAATTTACTACAAAAAATGACTTATGTCATCGTCCCTTTATGGCGTGAGATGGAACAGTGGAGTTAAAGGTATCCTTTTCTCTCAATATTAGTCCTATGACTGACTTACTATTTCTTAATTTATTGAAAAAGTCACCAGCCTAAGGAAAACACAAGCTGCACTTGCAGCAAAACAATTTCTCCTAGGGACATGGCTTTAGAATCTTTCCTCATACCAGTTGTAGACTCTTAGCTCTCATACTGAAGGGGAGGTTATCACATTCCTGCCTCTCACCTGGTTTTCACAATCAGTCCTTACCCCAGAGGGCCATTTACTACTTTGTCCAAGGTGCTTTATCAGTAGTGTTGCATAAAAGGCAGCTACTGTATACTTTTAGGAGGCTGTGCATTAGAATAGAGGAATCTTCTTTTCTTCCACTTTTACCACATCTCTGAATAATACTTACCTGTGTTAGAAAGGTAAGGCACTATAGAAGTAGAAAGCATTAATATTTTCCAGAATGCTTTAACAGCCCTATTGACCCACCTCCTCAAAATTCTAACCAAGTCATTACCAAAGATTTAAGTGTTACATGTAAATGTTAATTCTTCAGTTTTCTAGTTGCTACCAACATTGTGAAAAGTGTTTATACCCTGATGGTGCTTTACAGAGTGAGCGGTTGTAGAGAACAAGTGTTAGCATATTCCCTTGTGGAGAATGCTTTGCTTGTTCTATTAGGGCTTATCAGTCAAGAATAATGAGTTGTCTGAAGAACACTTAATTATATAAAAACTATCATCTCTCCTGGTGTGTGCAGCCGAGTGGCTTTAATGTTGCTATGCAACTGAAAGTTTAACCAAGTGCCTTTGGAGGCAATATTTATCTTGGGTGAACTGACTTTCATGAAAGGCTGCAGTAGCACAGAATAAAGGGGCAAGGTCCAAAGCAGACCTGGCCTCTCTAGCCTAAAGGCACTTAAATGAATGTTTCTTTACTTGAAGTCACTACACACATGCACCTGTCTATCAAATGGGGGCACTAGAGGAAGATGCAGCTGATGGAAAGAGGAACAGGGATCTGCTTTAATATGTAAACTGAAAAGGCACAGATAGCAGAATTTTAAGGTCTACCCCCTAACTATCCAGCACCTGGAATGGTCTGCTCAGCTGTAATGCATTTAGCCTGGACAGTTATTAGGAAAGTGAGTCCTCTTGTCAAGGCCTTAACACCATATTTTAACAAATGAAGAGCTTATTTATCTCTTAAAGCAGTAATTGGGAGTCCTAGTACTGACTTACTGCAGTGGAATTAAAGGTCTCATGTTAAGGGAGAGGAAATGGAGAAGCTGCCACAGCAAGTTAGTTGTGTAACAAAGAGCCAACCTGCTGTAGTAACTTATCTATCCATATACAAATAGGCTTTAACAGGGCCATGGCCACAAGCTGTTGTATACAGAATCCCATATTGTTTTCCTACTGTTTTGAGGCCCCTCTAAAATGTCTGGTTACTGCATACTTTGGCCCCTACTTAATAGGGAAATGCCCTTAAAACAGTGTCACACTGCTGATGGACAAATCAAGTTTTGTTTACTTAGTCTACGAGTCCTGGGCTGCCCTCACAAGTCTAGTTTATTCTGTAGGCTCTGAAACTAAGCAATGTGAGAAAACATCTTTGATACACAAAGAAATGTGCCAAAATTTAGGACCACCTCTGCCTCAAGCCAATGTCTTGCTTCTATCCAGTGTCGTCCTGATGGTTTGATAATCCTCACAGCATTGAGGGCTGAGCCTTGGCCAGGTCATGGTTTGATTTTCCATAACTGAAAAGAGAGGTTAGGAATTGGTATTTATCTGAGAAAGACTTTAAAAAAGCAAAACAAGAAATCTCTTGAATAAATTGCAGCTGCTAGTCTTTGAAAGACTGAGCTATAAAATGCATACTATTACATAATGGTTTAGGCATGCTAGTAAACCAACAGTCATTGCAGCTCTGCTTCTGAGGCAGCCAAAAACTTGTAGTTTATAGGACTGTCTACTACAGCCCAAAAAACTGCTTGTGTGCCTCTCTGAATGTATCGACTCACCATTCCTGCTGTCCTAACACATGAGTGGGTTTGCCCCAAAGCACAGATAAGAGGGGGAAACAGGTGAAGCAGTTGTGCTAATGAGAGCAAGTTAGTAGCAAAACCAGAATTAGACCCAGGTCTTCCGTAAGGCAGTTGGGTCCCAGTCTCCTAGAACATTCTCCTTGCCATCTCAAATGGCAGCTGCACTTACTCTGATATTGAATCCAAGAAGATCACTTATAACGCCTGATATGGCAGACAGGATCACAACTCGTGTGATGTTGTAGATTAAAGGGTTCATAGTCAGGCCATAGAGTCTAAATGGTGTGTCTAACTCCTGTAATGAGAAAATGGAAGTTACACCTGGACCCAGTTGTAGTCACCACCATTTTCAATTACTCAGACAGACTTCTGCCAACCAGATATTGCAAAATCCATTGGTACATTAGATAGGCATCTCTGCCTCCTCAGGGCTGAAGCATTTCACTGACCCTATCATAAAGGGTGTACTCTTCCTTATGGCAACACTTAGCTCAAACCAGGGCGCTGGTGAACCGTTTAGAATTTTAAATCTGGGGAGCATCTTATAGGTGTCACACCAGGCTCATTCTCTAGTAATAAATGACTGGAATCCTAAAATTCTGCTGAGGGAGAATGAGGAAACAAGACAGTACAACTGGAATGACAAGCCAGTTCTCCACCTCCCCAGTCCCTATTCTCATCCATGTTACTACTGGTATCACCCAGCACCTCAGTCATGGACAACCCCATTGTGCTAGGCACTGGACAAAGACAACATATTCAGATGAGAATACAAGGAAGCAATGAGATGATATTGGTCAGCATGACAGGCACTAGTCTCAGCACATTAGTGGCCTAACTCTTGTCTTTTTTGGTAGGCAACACAGAGAGTTAAGAATAGGAACTCACCTTCAGTAGCTTTGTAGACAGTTTTAAAACATTGTTCACTAGGGAGAGCTGTTCTTTCTTGTTTGGCTTCTTTTCCATCTTTAGGTATAAGTTGATCTGTCATGGAAACAGGTATTTTAGAGCAGATTTTACATTCAAGCACTTCACCCAAGTGTCAGCTGTGTTTACAGCACAGGGACCGCAGACCTATGCAAAAGTCACTACCCTGCCCATGGTGCGTGCTTGTGGTTTTCAAGTGCAGCAGTAATAGATTAACAAATATCCAATTTTTTCCCAGAGTGATAGGGTTCTTCTCACCCCCCAGCCATCAACAAAAAAATGAAAAGGATTTAGAATTTGGGCCTGGGTAACTGGCTTTCTTCCTTTAAGCCTGCTGTAGGAGCTACTCTTCTATTATGAACAAATAAAAATCAAAAGGGGTCTTAAAAAAAGGCACTAAGCTGAAATGAGGGAGGAGTTCATTTGAACTGCAAAGATCACTTTCATACTAGAAAACAGTAAGCCCATGGGAGGGTGAGCTGCAGCGGAGATACCTGTTCAGTGAGCAGGATTGAAATATTACTATATTTTTTGTTAGTTTCAGAGCCCAGTGATGCCAGGCGCAGTAGAAAAAGGAGGAGGGCTGTTTCCCAGATGAGGAACTCCCAGTTGTAAGCCACATTCAGGAAGGTTTTGTGCCCTTTTAAAACCTGTATTAAACAAAACAATGAAATTGGCAAATAGACTGAAATGTTCCTATTCACCTACCATAAACACTTTCATTCAACACACAGAAGCCGCTATGGCCTGTGTGACCACCATAACATCAGCCAAAGAATTCGCCACTCCCAAATACATGAATAAAGGTAGGACAATAATTAAAGTGAAGTGAGACCAGTCTATATCAGCCTGATCAATACATTAATATTCATTCCCTTTATCCCTGCCATCTGATAGTTAGATACTCTGAAGAGTGCTGCCCAATGTAAGTGCATTTTCATTGTTAAAGGAACTGGTTGGATGAGTCTTTCCCTCAGCACACATGAAACTGGATCCCAACATTACTACATTCAATGCAAAGCCAAAGTTGAGATGGGCAGTTAACTAGCAAAAGCATAAGCATTCATCTGCAGCACAATGAAACCATTTTGCAAACTGTTGCTAACAACTATACTTATCTACAAAAGGGGAAAAAAAAGCCTCTCTGAAATCTACTTAAGGACTAAAATCCACCTGAAAAGCAGTTACCAGTTATACTTCGAAGAATTTTTTCACTGGCTTTTTATTGCTCACAGAACATAAAATGTGAGTCTCACCTGTGCACAGCATATGAAGGCAATTGATAGAGCCAATAAAAAGATTGAAGAGACAACTACATCCACAGATCGCTGGGGCCCTCTCCTCTGTGGAAACAAAAATGTTTAATCAGATCTGGGAAACCTGTTGAATCTCAGTAAAAGATAGCACAAATATAGCAATAGTTTTCAGCTACTCAGGAAAAAGTTGTAATATCCTGGACTCCAGCTCCTGTAGCAGCTGGAGTCCACCTGCAACCTTCCACCAACTTCGCTTACACCATTTGCTTTAGTCTGTTAACATTTAAACATATACTTGCACTCTTTGGATCACGACTTGCCTTTAGATAGGAGCGCAGTGATAACCAAATTTTAATATTCTCCACCTTCTTGAGTCTGAAGTGGGGGATTTCATACTTCCTGGCTTTCCGGGCAGATGTTATGTGACTAAAAAGTTTGGCAAACAAAAACCGCTGCAAAGAAAAGTGTCAGTAAAGAAAATCCACATTGATATAGTCTAATGTTAGCATCCATATGGTGCTTAATATAATATGTACATTAGTTGCTAAACAAATTATTTGTGCTTGCCAGTGGTAGGAATAACATTCCTGTACAAGAGGAAAACATGACAGCTTTAGTATCTCTCTCACTTAAAGGATAAAAATCATCCCAGTATACCACATCTACAACAACAGTTGCAAACTAGCAAACCTGTTAGCCACATTTCCTTGTGGAAGGATGTGATAGATACAAATACACATCCTTATAACCTGGGCCCATCAGAGGATTTGTCTTTAGGGCAATCAAGTCCAGCCAGGCAGCTGTAGTCTTTAACCTTGCTGTCACATTATTTCCTGGTGGACACTTATTTCTCATTCTAAGACAAGTCTCATAACTGTAGGCTTCACAGTACTAGTAGGGCTAATAACTTTTCCTAGATTGCTCCAATTTGCCCCAGACTTGTAAGATAGCAAGTACTTAAGGTTCATTTCCTTTCAGCAGTACGGAGAAAAAATAGCAAGCTTTAAAGACTAATTCACGGTGGAAGTTAGTCATTGCATCTCTCAGGGGAAGAGACCTACCACAGCACCTCAGGTATAATGCTATCCCAGCATTCCCCACAGTGTCTTACTGCTCCCAAACATGCATCTCAGCAGCTGCTTTAAGAGGGGAAGCAATGACAGCAACTTGAATGTTGCAACAGAAATGTGCATGTTCATGAAAAGTAACTCAGCACATTTAGACAAACCTGTTTGTACGTTCTCTCAGCAACACACATCATAAAGAAAAACATCCAAGTCAGGCAGAGACGCTCAAGGAAGTTAATCACAGCCAAGACAATGACAGGTGTGATGGTAGGAGCCCCACAAAAGATATTCAAAAGTTCCTTCACTGAAATGGATCGCAGCTGTTCAAGATTCTTTGTATGGAAGAGCCGGTAGAGGAAAGGAAGACATGCTAACCCAATGGTGACAACGTTTCCCAGCATCTGATAGCCTACTCCCTGCTGATAGGCATTAACCTGGAGAATAGGCAAATATCATTAGCACTATATGAGCTACAACTAATTTTTTTAATTACTGTAAGTACAATGTTAAAAAACCAATAGGGAAAATTCCCCAATTCTAAAACTCCATTAGGAAACCTGTATGTGTAAATACATACATAACCTTCTGCTTCAAAGAAACAGTATTTGGTGTGGCTGTAAGATAAAGTTCAGCCATTACACACTTCATCTTTCCACTCACTGAACTCAGAACACAGCAAGTGCGCAAGAATAAACCAGGAAATATACTAGAAAAGTTACAGCGAAAGAAAGTGTGGCATAAAATGATTCCATATTATGACATCACTTCCTCCCCCTTACAATGACCTATCCATCTCCCCCTCTCCATGGCCATCTCGCTTCTGAGAAAGGTGCAAGACTGACCAAAATAGAGCAGCAGCCATAAGCCACTAATTTTAATTGCACTAAAAGCTTCCAACTCCTTGTCGCTCAGAACAGGGAATAATGTCAACATGAAGTAAGCATCTACTGATAAAAGGCTATGTAAGAGCTAGGTATTACTTTACTGTCATTCTTAGACCAGGAGTCATACCCTCTGCTTCGAATTAATGTATTTTCTTAAATCCCTCTGCAAATACTAGTTAAGAGTATTTAGGACCATCTTTAATAAAAGGTACTTGGACTTGTACAGTTTGCAGATGCATCACAATTTAGGGCACATCTACATTATGATGTTGCTGATAAAGCAGCTTATGCCAACCAAATTATGTAAGCATACGCACTACAGCGCTTCTCCTGCCACTGTAACTTGCCCACTACGCCGACCTAGTAAATCCACCTCGAAGAGATGCTTTAGGCATAGGTTGACGTAGTTCAGATAACACCCTGTCTGTATAGACATTTACTTGCATCACCTGTTGTCTGTCAGGGTGGCTGACAGCCAGATCCATGAAATTGACAATGTCAATTTCCCTGCTGGTAGGGTTCCTGTTTTGCAATTGAGCAGGGGGGTGCTCCAGCTGTCAGCACTGCTTTGCTGCCCAGCGCGGAGAGCCTAGATTGTGGGCACCCTGCAGAGCTCTCAGCTCCCCGCTTCACGGGGCGTGCAGAGCTGAGAGCCTGGGTGGCAGCTGGGAGCTCAACCTAGAGCTTAGGTCAGTGCAAGTGCTCCTGGTGAGAACATACATCGCTGACAGGAGGGTAGTGTGGACATGAAAATCTGCAGTAATTTATTGCTGTGGCTGTAAATCAATCTAACATAAGTAGACTTAACTTTGTAGTGTAGACATGCCCTTAGAAGGGGGGGGGGGGAGGAGAGAGAGAAGAGAGAAGAGGAATCAATCCTTACTCTGCTCATGATAATCCCGCTGATCTCCAGCGCAGACATGTCCACCTTCTTGCACTCACTTCCCTCCCAGATCAGGGCACTTACTTTTGCAGATGCAGGGCTCGTATTCTGAAGCCAGAACAAATGGTTCTGGAGAAGAAAATGCAACACTGAAAACATTTCTCAACTATCTACAGGAAATGGTTTCAAAATAGGCAGCATTTTTATTGAAAATGTTTGAATATAGTTTTAAATTTCAACATGGAAACTAGCAACAGAGGGTCCTGTGGCACCTTTAAGACTAGTCTTAAAGGTGCCACAGGACCCTCTGTTGCTTTTTACAGACTCAGACTAACACGGCTACCCCTCTGATACTTAACATGGAAACTATAAGTTATTAAAGGAAAAATTGTCTGCATGTACATCCAACAGCATCTAGCACAAGGCCCTGAGCCTGATTGTGACTCTGAACATAACGGCCACACTGGGTCAGACCAAAGATCTTCCGACAGTGGCCAATGCCAGATGCCCTAGAAGGAATGAACAGAACAGGTGATCCATTCCCTGTTGCCCATTCCCAGCTTCTGGCAAACAGAGGGTAGGGACACCATCCCTGCCCAATAGCCATTGATGGACCTATCCTCTGAATTTATCAAGTTCTTTTTTGAACCCTGTTACAGTCCTGCCCTTCACAACATCCTCTGGTAAAGAGTGCCACAGGTTGACTGTGCATTGTGTGAAGAAATACTTCCTTGTTTGTTTTAAACCTGCTGCCCCTTAATTTCATTTGGTGACCCCTATGTGTTATGAGAAGGAGAAAACACCACTTTACTCCACACCAGTCATGATTTTATAGACCTCTATCATACCGCCCCCCCCTTAATTGTCTCTTTTCCAAGCTGAAAAGTCCCAATCTTATTAATCTCTACTCATATGGAAGCTGTTCCATGCTCCTAATCTTTTTTTTGCCCTTTTCCAATTCCAATATATCTTTTTTGAGATGGGGCCACCAGAGTTGCATGCAGTATTCAAGATGTGGTCATACCATGGATTTATAGAGAGGCAATATGGTATTTTCTGTCTTATCGATGCCTTTCTGAATGATTCCCAATGTTGTTTTTTGACTGCCACTGCACATTGAGTGAATGTTTTCAGAGAACTATCCACAATGACGCCAAGATCTTTGAGTGGAAAGGGCTAATTTAGACCCCATCATTTTATATGTATAGTTGGGTTTATATTTTCTAATGTGCATTACTTTGCATTTATCAACAACATTCAATTTTTCTGCCATTTTGTTGCCCAGTCACCCAGTTTTGTGAGCTCCTTTTAACTCTTCAGTCTGCTTTGGACTTAACTATCTTGTAGTTTTGTACTATCTGCAAGTTTTGCCACTTCACTGTATACCATGTTAAATACTGGTCCCTGTACAGACCGCTGGGGGACACCACTATTTACAACTCTCCGTTCTGAGAACTGACCCTTTATTCCCACCCCTTGTTTCCTATCTTTTAACCAGTTAGGGATCCATGAGAGGATCCTCCCTCTTATCCCATGACAGCTTACTTCGCTTAAGAGCCTTTAGTGAGGGACCTTGTCAAAGGCTTTCTGAAAGTCAACGTACACTATATCCACTGATCACCTCTGTCCACATGCTTGTTGATCCCCCTCAAAGAATTCTAGTAAATTGAGACATGATTTCCCTTTACAAAAACCATGTTGACTCTTCCCCCAAATCATAATCAGCTGTGTGTCTTGTCTGATAATTCTGTTCTTTAGGATTGTTTGAAACTGTGTGCCTACTAATAAGGTTAGGCTTACTGGCCTGTAATTGCCAGGATCACCTTGGGAGCCAATTTTTAAAAATTGCCATTACATTAGCTATTCTCTAATCATCCGGTACAGAAGCGGATTTAAATGATAGGTTACAGACTACAGTTAGTAGTTCTGCTATTTCACATTTGAGTTCCTTCAGAACTCTTGGGTGAATGCCATCTGGTCCTGGTGACTTATTACTGTTTATCAGTTTGTTCGAAAACCTTCTCTAATGACACCACAATCTGGGACAGTCCCTCAGATTTGTCACCTAAAAAGAGTGGCTCACATTTGGGAATCTCCCTCACATCCTCAGCCATGAAGACGGATGCAAAGAAAACACTGAATTCTTCTACAAGGGCCTTACAGCCGTGGTCACCAACCAGTCAATTGGAATTAACTGGTTGATCCTGGAGGATCTCCCAGTCAATCGCGATCTCCAGCTGCGCAGCAAGGCTGCTGCTAAGACTGGCTTCCTGCTTGCCCCAGCCCCACACCGCTCCCAGACGCGGCTAGCGCGGCCTTGCAGCCTTCAGGGCAGCAGGGGGTCTCCCTCCACACGCTGCTCTTGCCTGTAAGCACCGCCCCCGCAGCCCCCATTGACTGGGAATAGGGGGCTGTGGCCAACAGGAACAGTGGGGGCAGTGCTTGCAGAGAGAGGCAGCACGCAGAGCCATATGCCACCTGCCTCCCCCCCGGGCTAAGGTAGGCAGGGAGCCTGCCTTAGTGGCAGCCACACTGTGCCACCAACCAGTAGCCACTGGAGGTAAGTGCTGCCCAGCGGGAGGCTGCACCCCAACCCCCAGCCCCTTCCCAGAGCCAGCACCCCAAGCCCCAGCCCTGACCCCCCTCCCAGAGCCAGCACCTGCACACCCTCCTGCACCCCAACACTCTGCCCCTGCCCTGAACCCCTTCCCAGAGCCCCCTCCTGCACCCAAACTCCCTCCCAGAGCTTGCACCCCAACCCCCTGCCCCAGGCTGAGCCCAGAGCCCCCTCCCACACTGCAAACCCCTCAGCCCCAGCCCAGAGCCCGCACCCCTTCCCAAATCCCTACCTCAGCCCGGTGAAAGTGAGTGAGGGTGGGGGGGGGAGAGTGGGGGGGGGGGATGGAGTGAGTGGGTGGGGCTTTGGGGAAGGGGTGGGGCAGATCCTAGGTTGCCCTTAAATTCAAAAAAGGTTATCCTGGGCATAAAAAGGTTGGAGACCACTACCTTATAGTCTTTGATTACTACTTTAACATCTCAACCAGTGGGGCCACTGGATGATTGTTTAGCAGACTTCCTGCTTCTGAGGTACTTAATTTTTTGGTGTTGGTGGTGGTGGTGGTGTTACTTTAGTCTAGCTAACTGTTCTTCAAATTCTTTTTTGATGTTCCTAATTACATTTTTATGCTTCACTTGCTAGAGTTTATGCTCCCTTCTGTTTTCCTCAGTAGGATTTACCTTCCATTTTTTTAAAGGATGCCTTTTTGCCTCTAACTATCTTTTACTTTGTTTTTTAGCCATGGTGGCACTTTTTTGGTCCTCTTATGTTTTTTAATTTGGGGTACACATTTAAATTGAGCCTCTATTATGGTGTCTTTAAAAAGTTTCCATGCAGCTTGCAGGGATTTCACTTTTGGCGCTGTACCTTTTAATTTGTTTAACTTCCTCATTTTTGTGTAGTTCCCCTTCCTGAAATTAAATGCTACTGTGGTGTCCCCTACCCGGAATGTTAAATTTTATTTTATAGTCACTATTACCAAGTGGATCAGCTGTATTCACCTCTTGGACCAGATCCTGTGCTCCACTTAGGACTAAATCAAGAATTGCCTCTCCTCTTGTAGGTTCCAGGACTAGCTGCTCGAAGAAGCTGTCATTTAAGATGTCAAGAAACTATCTCTGCATCCCATCCTGAGGTAACATGTACCCAGTCAGTATGGGGGTACTTGAAAGCCCCCATTATTATTATTGAGTTTATTTGTATGGCCTCTATCCCCCTGAGCATTTCACAGTCACTCTGGGTGCTATTACCAATAAAGTGATAATATTACAGACTTCCTACTGTAACACTGAAGACTGAAATGCTAGATCCAAAGAGTGAGAAGCTATGATTAGTGCATATGCACTCCCCTGAACTAGGAGAATAAAAATAGTATCTTCCCACCCAAGTTTTAGAGGCTATTGTGATGCTTTCATAGCCAGAACTGCTGTGGCTGGGATCCTGAATTTCCACACTATTTCCCTCAGGATACTTTTGCTAAATAGAATCAGGGTTCGAGTCTATGTGCCAGAGCATTCGTGCATCCTGTTCAATGCTTCCCTCATTTATTTTTACATTCATATTTCACTTTAAGACAGTCAACCACAGTCTAGGTACTGATGGTAACTTGTTCTATAAATCCGAAGTAAGAGAATATCTATGCTCATCATTGAATTTTACAGAAATGTCCATCTGCTAAACCATGTCCATCCTCAGAGGAAACAGATTAGGCCATGGCTTTTTTATTCATTTTGACCTGGCAAAGTCAACTTCTAACAATGTGTTTGCACAAGTTACAACTACAGAATTTACTTCTTGTGTTATTTTAGAGGGTACAAGTTACATCAAAAGAAAAATATTTCATAGGCTCCTCATTTATCGCAAGTGGTTAAACAGACCTGTTGGAAAACATCGTCTTTCAGGTCCCGTTTACTTCCTTTTACATTCCCTTCCTCGCTGTCACTGGTGTAGGAAGAACGGCACTCTGGTCCATGAAGCAGGTCATCCCAGAGCATGTCCTCTGTCTCAGAGTCATGGCGGGTGCTTTCAGAGTCTCTCCGAGACACACTGCAGCTCTGGGACCCACCACTAAAACAAGACCTTGATTCCTTTAAAGAAAAAGGAAGTTTACAAAAGTAACTTCTCCATACTAAGCCTTCAACAACAAAAATCATTTTTTAATCTTCAAGTAATATGTTCACAACCACATGGTCAAGCCAAGCCAACCTGAAGCCACTCTGACAAGCTAGAACAGAAAGGACATTTCTACACAGGGATGCTTTTGCGACATGAACTCCCAGCAACAAACTATTAATGTTTTCCCACCTTCAGAATAACTTACACTAATTTCATGAAAACTCTGAAGGCCAGGAAAATGGAACCAGAACTTAGAATACATTTTAATAGCTTCGTCCTCATTGTGGGACAGAGTTTAGTGAGAATTTCTACAGCTGGAAAGGAGACTTATTTCTTGATTTCTATGAAAAATAGAATTTTTAGAATGCCTGATGTTTACTCCAATACAATGTTATCCTCCCAACAGCCAAGTCTCTAATGAAGAGTGATTAGAGGCCTCTGAGCGTGCTGCTGCTACCAGTAGAATTTCATAAATTGAATGTTAAGTTCAAAATTCAAAGCACTGAAAAGGTACAAAAATTATGGAGTTTAAATGGTCAGTTACAAAGCTCTTAAAAAAAAAAATCAACTCTTACCCTGGAGGAGACAATCTTCATCTAAATTCTTCCCTGCTTTACAACCTGGAAAGACTATAATCCCAAATACACAGTTGAGGGCCGTGGAGTCTGCCTGCTTTAACCTGTCTCCCTTGCTACTGCAACAACCACTATGCCTTTCAGACTATGCAGGCAGTAAACAATGGGGTCAAATGAAAGCGCTTTGCATAGGAAACAAATCTCATACACTTCTCTTGTGCTATAGTCTATTATGATCCACAAGCAGGGAGTATCATGTCATATATGAATGCTCACAGAATTTCATTTTTTGCAGATCTGACCGTAAGACAGGGCTGTATAAAAGTATCAACAGGGGAATGACCAGTGGGAAACCAAGACAGCATTGAGTGTGACAGCCCAGGATTCCAAGAAGACTGCTTAAAGCTCTGGAATGAAGACTGATCGACAGCTTCGCTCCTCTGGAAGTGTGAACAATAAGAGTAAAGTCTGAGTGGAACACAGAACCTTCTCAGAAGCTAGTCCGAGACTGTGAAACTAACTCCTCAAGGAGCTAAGGACCATCACAAACCTCACCACTTTCTGTTCCAAGTGCAACACACAGCAACAGGTATATTTAACAAAACAAACCCTATCAAAATAAGACATTGCTGCACACACTTATCCCTCTGAGCAGAGGATGAGAGAACAAGTGACAGATGTGTAGTCACATGCTCAATGCACTACTGGAAGGCATTCAGATACTACAGTGATGAGCACCGTATAAAAACCTGAATAGAACAGATGTACCACTCTGCCCACCTTAAATGATGCAAAGGTCTCTGGTATTTTAGAACCCCTACCTGGCTAAAGGCTGTTGAGTCTAGTTCAGATTCTACCACACTATCGGACTCTCTGGTACCTTTAATGGCTTGATTGACCTGCCATAAATAAAAAGGACAAGTTAGTTAAGAGCCAGTAACAGTAAACTTTATGGAATCTTAAGGTAAACCAACAGAACTACCTGTGAAACTGACTGGTTTGAAGTAGTAAGAGGTCTCCTATTCTTGTCTTCATAGCTATTGTCACTGGAGGCCCCTTCTACACTTCTGCGTAACAAAATCCTCTGTGCCATGGCTTCAGCATCCTCCTCACTTGACAGCTCATCAGAAATGCCACCCATATGTGTGCCGCCATCCTGGAAGAAAAGCAACCATCTAAACGAACTAGAAGATGGGGCTAATAAAACTAAGCAGATCTGCATCAAGCAGAAGTATCTGGCCAATATTACCATTGCAATGTTATGGTTACCAACAGTGTGAATTCTAGACTAATACAGTAGCCAATAAAAGGGAAATTACTTCTACAAGTACAAGCAGAACGAGGAGTCAAAGAATCAAACAAGTTCTACAACTGATGGGCCAGCCCTGTCATTGCAGCAGTGGAAAGAGGGGGAGAAAAACATCCAACCTCTCCAGCAGCTAAAACAGAAAAGGAGGTAATTCAACTCCTGATCTCCTCCCCCTTCATTTCCACAGCCTGATGCCTCAAAGGCCAGCAACATCCACAAGTCTTTGTGTGACCCTGGGCATAGGACGTGACTGGGTTGTCATGAAAGCTGTGGCCCAACAACCAAGTCTATTCCCGCCCTGAATGCCACCTTCATGTATTAGAGACTTTGGGAGCAACGCTCTTTGCTTCACATATTCTTGTCTAAGTGACTCTCACCAATCCCAAAGCCTTCATTTTAGTGCTTGCACAGACAAAACTTTGGTTTTTAAGGTCACATACAAAAATTCCATCAGGTGAAACTGAATTATCTCCCAACAGAAGGACAATGCACTTATTGTTTGCAGGGCAGATGTTTTACATGGTAGAATTTTGAATTCTGTTTGTTTTTAAATCAACCAACCTTTGAATTGAAGACTATCCAAATAAACAAGCATTTCAGTATAAAGAGGCCTCCTTTATTCTTCGCACAGGTTTCCATGTTTAGCATATTTATGTTCTATTGTAAGTTAAAATGGAGTTTATATTTACATCTGACATTAAGGCACCAGCACCAAGTCAGTCATGACTGAAGAATCAATGCAGAAAGGAATTTTCCAATAATGACTCAATCTTACCCGATGACTCTTCTCCCCATCTGAAAGTCTCTCTCTCTCTTTGAAATGCAGCAGCCTATATTCGGATCTGGAAAGTCTGTGCTTAATGCCATTATACACAGAACTCACACCACTTTCTGTTTCAGTCCCTTTATCAGCTACCAATTTCACCCTCCTTAACCTGGGGAATCAAAATGCAACAGAACGGTTCTGACTTCAGAGCAAAGCTCTTGATAGGATAATGTCAATTTACTCTGTCACTTGCCTGCCTGGTGCAGAATTAAGCAATAGCTGAGAGGCTACAGAATTATCTCAATTTCAGGCACTTCACGGCCCTGTCTTAGAGGGAACATAAACCTACTCCATTGTCAAATGCCAGCTCCCAAATGTCCTACAGATTCTAAATCCAGGGGGAGGGCAGGATTCAGGAGTAATTAAGTAAAAAACTAGTTAAAGGAGAAACTTTTAGGTACCTTTTTAAATAGTAACAGAAGGTGGCAGCTTAGATCAGAGGTTAACAATCAGGAGATTAAGTTTCCAGCTAAAAAAACAAAACAAAAACTCAGCTGGGAGAGGGGATAGAAGGGATGAACCCAAATAGTGCATCCTCCTTTTCCCTGGTTTTCATCATGTCTTAGAAAATACTTTAAAAAATGATCTGATCAGGTTAAATTAAGGGTAAATTGACTCTGAACTGAGCAAAGCAAGGTAACTAAATATGGGACTTAAGGGGGAGTTGAGTACATACGCTTAGGAGGGTCACTCAGAGACTAGAGAGAGCCTCTAACACTCTGCACAATTGTGTTTCTAAAATAGGCTACCAAAATTGTCCCATATCCAGAATGAGGACAAATATATGGACTCCTAATAAGACAGACTTCCTCCAATGGCAGTGCTACTTGGATTTAGTTTAAGAACAGCTGTAACCTGTGCAGTTTGGGAATGTGAGACTGATACTTAATAAGCATTCTGTTTGTTTTCTGAATGCTCAACTGTTCGTACACTACAAACACTCACACCCTCCTGGTGCAGCATACACACCTCCTGCGGAAGAGCATGCCAAACAAACTGTTGATAATGGATGTAGGTTCCAACTGCTTGTCTCCTTTATTGGCTTTGTCAGAGGAAGACCAGCTGCCAGCATCTCTGCTCCCATCACTACCCACAGGTTTGCGTAATTTTCTATTTAAAAAAACAGAGTGGGGAGAGAATTTAATTTGCAACAAAGCATCTTTACACCCTAAAAACCACGTACCAAATCCATACACCACTCTAGCTGCTTTGTCAAATGCGTCATGCAGATACTGGGGTCAATCCCCCTCAAATATGCACAGGTAATTTTTACTAGCATCAGCAGGAATTAGGTTTATGTCCCCAGGGGAGAATACACACTAGTACCACAAAGGATTTAAGTGGATAATTATACAAGATAAACATGGCAAAACAGCCTGTGTGGAAATGTCATAAGGGTAGTAGTTACAGCCTCTCTCTCAGCAGGAAGGCTGCACTGAGGCTGACAGTGGGCAGTTTTAAATTAAAAAGTTGCAATGTCTCCCATGCAACAAAAAAAAGGCAAGAAACATCCCTCAGAGTCACATGTCATCCTTTGCCCCCTCTGAAGGTGTATGAGAAGCCTCTCAGTTAATGTAAGTGTAAAACATTGGTCAAGTTCCCAAAGCCATAAGCGTGATGTGGTTTGTGGCGCACACACCACTGGCCACAGAAAGAAACTGGACTACCAAGGTTCCATTAGAACAGTCCAACTGCAAAGTAGAGAATAAAGGGGACGTAACATGGCCAGACTTCCTGAGTGATATAGCACTTACGAAAGCTGTGAAAGGGGGAAGAAGGTGGGCTATCCATGATCAAGCATATGGTACATATATCCCTGCATTTTACAGTCACATAATATATTTACTTAAAACAGCAGCAAACGAGACCTTTATCCAGTAACTTGACACTGTACCATATTACTCTGATTCCTACAAATAATTAGCACACAATTAGCACTCTGTTTCATCTCACCTCCGCCTCCTGCTGCTTCCATTGGTTCCCGAGGGTTTGTTGATCTGGGTCGACACGATCTGACAGTGAACAGTTCCCATCAGTAGCATAAGGCACATTGGTCCAATGATTTCACTTGCACTCGCAACAGGTATCATGAAATACAACATGACTGCTATAACTGAAAGAGAAATTGGATCAAATGCAAAAGCTACACTGGGAATTCCCTACCTAAGAGTGAAAGGGGCATGTCTCTGTTTTTATTATTGTCCCAATGATTAATTTTGTTCACTTTAAAAGCTTTTGCAGATACTAACTCCACCCTCATTGTTATGTGGCCCTGGTACTACTTCTCTGAAATTCCTTCTTTCTTTGCAATGTGATTTGTAAGTATATTAAAACAATAGAAAACAGAACCACAAAAGGGATCAAAAGTGTGCATCAAAAAAATTACTTTCCTCTGCCAGAATGTGCTCTATGAAAGCCATTTACAATCTTCAGAGGACACTGTTCCAGCTCACGTCAAGAAATGACTATTACAGAAGCTGGACTGACAGAGGAGCTGCATGTCAGGATATACAGTACCTTCACTAAGTAGGTTCTTTGCCAAAGCACGGTGGGGTAGGCAGTTTATCCACAGAACAGGTCTAGCATTTGCGGTGGCAAAGTAAGTTTCCTCCACCCTGTGGCCTCATTTCTAGCCTGGAAGATCACCTCAAAAGGAGGTGAGGGGAGTCCAATCCCAGCATGAAGGACCAGATATCAAATATTCCTGGAACTGCATGGAAAAATCCATGGGGACCAGGACAACAGTAAAAGGCTGCTTAAATTCAGAGATTTTGAGGCCCAAAGAAATCATTGTGATCGAATCTCCTGGCTGTAACAGGCTGGAGAATTTCACCCAGTGATTCCTGCATCAAACCCACACCTTCTGGTTGAGCTAGAACAGGAGTTCTCACGCTGGGGATTGGGACCCCTCAGGGGGTTGCAAGGTTATTACATGGGGAGGTCATGAGCTGTCAGCCTCCACCCCAAACCCTGCTTTGGGTCCAGAATTTATGATAGTGTTAAATATATTTAAAAGTGTTTTTTTAATTTATAAGGGCAGGATCACACTTAAAGGCTTGCTATCTGAAAAGGGTCACCAATACAAAAGTTTGAGAACCACTGAGCTAGAACGTCTTAATATAAACTAATGAAGTTGCCTGAACTATGGTGCCCACAGCAGCTTCAACAGAATATATTGGAAATGCTAATCCCATTTTACCTAGATGCTTATTCAATGCTGCCCTTCCCTCCCCTACCCCACACACGAGCACTTCCCCATCTGTAAAATGGGGCTAAATTCATTAATGTACGTGAACTGAAGCATAGATTAAACCAGTGGTTCTCAACCAGGGGTATGTGTACCCCTGTGGGTACGCAGAGGTCTTCCAGGGGGGTACATCAACTCATCTAGACATTTGCCTAGTTTTACAACAGACTACATAAAAAGTACTAGGTAAGTCAGTACAAACTAAAATTTCATACAGATGACTTGTTTATCCTGCTCTATGTACCATATACAGAAATGTAAGTACAGTATTTATATTCCAATTGATTTTTTATAAGTATATGGTAAAAGTAAGCAAGCAATTTTTCAGTAATGTGCTGTAACATTTATGTATTTGTCTGATTTTGTAAATAGTTTAAGTGAGCTGAAACTTGGGGTACACAAGACAAAGCCTCCTGAAAGGGGTACAGTAGTCTGGAAAGGTTGAGAGCCACTGGATTTAAGTGACTTGTCCAAGGTTACACAGGAAGTACGAGATAGGAATTTAACCCGGATCTCTCAATTATGTGAGCCCTGGTCCACTGCTTCAACCACACGACCATCTTTCCTCCCTTTTGCTGAATCAAATGTAACAGTCATTTGAGCACTCTTAGGGTACATTAGAAGGTGGAACCCAAGAAGCATGTGGCATGGAAAGCTGTGCAGTGTCTGCAGATAATGAACAAACACTTCAAAGCTGCATCCTTACCATTGCAAATGGCATTAGCAAACAATAAGAATCTCATGGTTTTTCATAACCACAAACAAAAGATGGCACAGCACCCTCCAACGCTTACCTTGCATGAGGTAGAGGACCAGAAGCCACATAAAAATACGCTGGGATGTAACCTGTATCCACCACCGGCTGAATAATGGAAAAAACACAACCCGCACAATCCCCTTTCTAGTTAGTGACGTCCACGGGATTTCAGGCTTGGCTTTGGCAAATGTGGAGCCTTGAAAATACACAATGTGGAGGTATTTCAAATGGGAGTGCTAGCCAATGCTTTATTTGTAACTAAGGCTAAGATTTTGTAACAGAGGTCATGGAAGTCACAGAATCCATGACTTCCAGAGACCTCCATAACATTTTTCCTTCAACCCTGAGGCAGCAGGGATGGGGCTCCCCTGCAACTCCCAGCTGCTACTGTGGGAAGATCCCACAGCTCCCAACCACCAGGGGCAGACCCCACAGCTCCAAGTTGCTGCCAGTAGCAGGGGAAACTCTGCGCTCTCAGCGGTCACTGGAGCCCCAGCAGCAGTGGGTGCTGGACCCACCTCCCTCCCCATTTTGTCAGTGATTTTTAATAATCAGGGACAGGTCACAGGCTTCCATGAATTTTTGGTTCTTGCCCATGACTTTCACTAAATATAACTGATAAAAATCTTAGCCTTACTTATAACTTCTTCCCTAGACAAGGCCAAACTCCCTCAAATACCGTATAATTTGAAATGGGAAAGGAAAGAACTCAAACTTCAGCCTCTCACCAGTTCCATCAATCCAAAATCATATGAATCCCTTCTCCTCCTCTCAGCCCACTTGCCCAGTCCCAAATACCTCTATCTTACATAAGCTGTCATCCACAACACAAACCCATAATGACCACCTGTCACCCTTCCTCCCCCAGGCATTATCTACAACCTCAGCCCTTAGCTGATCATGCTGTGGTTCCAGCAAGCCTCCAGTCCCTCTGCCAGGTGTCACACTCTGGGCCCTCTAATGCTAACTTCTAGCACTGCTGCCCCATGATCTAAATAGCTGTCCTTTCAGAAACCAGACAGTGGTATTAAATTATGTCAGACCTAGGTAAAAGATAAGATATTCCTCTTCCCATCATTGTGTAAAGCAGAAGTGTATGTCACATTTAACCTGGGGGCATTTGATACAACCTCTATTATTCAAAGGATACCTACCTCTGATTAAGTCAACATCTATCAGGTCAGGCTGTATGTGGCCCTTTTTTTTGGGTTTGTTTTTGAAGCCCTGCAAATTTAAAAATAAAATATTATTAATTTTTGTAGTGAATAGAAAAGACTGCCTGCATTTCCTTTACTCTGATCTCTCCAGAAACCACGATGATCTCCAGCACTAACATCAGGAGCCTCATTCAATACTTCTAGTGCTCTTCTAGAGACAAGTTTATTAGTCAAAGATCCTATTTATATTTATTTATTTTAGCTCTCATTTAATATTTATTTTAAAACAAGACTGCACCCTGCAGGAACCACAGTTAGAGCCATTACTTCCATTTCCTGGGGGTAAAGAGGAAAGAGGCCACTGCACCTGTGACTGGTCAGCTGACTCCCAGTTACTCTTAAAAGAGGGCATCTGGGCCCTGGAAAGGAGATAGGACAGGCCAGATACAGGAAGCATGGGTAAGAGCTGCCTGAGACTCAGACAGGAGCAGCAAGGAAGAGCTGGCAGAAGTTGCTTAATGGAGCTTCAGGAGACCCAGTGGAGAGACCTGAGCTCAGATGGGAGCGTAACAGGACTACTGGTAAGAAATTACCAAAGCTGGAAACCCTTAACAAGCAGAAGGCTTGGCCAGTGACCTCTTGGAAAAAGAGGAAGATCCAAACTCATAAGCAGGAGGGTAGATTGGCAGTAATAGGCAATGACATCACTTGTTAGTTAAAGGGTATAAAAAATAAACTCTTAGTATTCATTGCTAATACCTGCCTGACCAAGTTGGAGCTGACCAATATGGGTCTAAGCAGCCCTGGGTTTAGCAAGTTTGTAAGTATCTTGATCAAATGCTTATAAATGTTTTGTTACTGTTTGGATGTAGTAAATTGCTTATTTTTTAGGCAAATTTAGAGAAATGGGGTAAATTTTGTTCAGCTTTTGGATTTAATAAAGGAACTTATGGTTAAATTAGTTGTGGTAGTATCCTGCATAAATAACACCAATATTACCACTAGTCATTGAGTAATATCTGAAAATAGATTGTCAGTTCTTCAGGGCAGAGACTAGATCTTTTCATTTGTTCTATAAAATACCTAGCACTTTTGGCAGTGTATAAAATAGTAAAGTTCAGATTGATTTTTTTCTCTCAAAGACAAACTGTACTGTACAGTAAGTATATCTATGGCATGCAGTGCCTTTCATTGTGTGGGCTTCTGGGATTTGCATTAAGCAGAACTGGTGCAGCCACATAACAAGGGCCAATAAATAGCATGGGACAAAGAGCAAATTAAAAAATAAATTAAATTAAATAATTACCTTCATCTCAGTCTGTTCTATAGACTTTTCCCATATCTGTTGGTCATAGGCTCCAATCTGAAAAAATAAATTCTTTACGTGACAAAATCCTTCAATTTACAACAAACCAAAACAGGGTGGATAAAATTTGATTTAACAAAACCTGATTTTTTTTTTATTTAATACAGGTAAATTTAAAATTAAATTTGAAATAACAACCTATGTTAAGACCTTAAGTTACCATAATCTATTAGTGACTTAAATATAAAATATTTAGTACATATTTCCTACCAATTTTTTAAAAGTCAAACTACTGAACTGCTGAAAATCACTGGCTAACTTGTCAAAGTGCTAAACCAGCTTTTGACAGCCGTAGGCTCTTCTGCAGGCAAATAGATTTTCTTCATTTCAGTTTTAGTTCAGTTTAATGACTTGATTAATTCGTTTGAAGTTAAGAAACCAACTGGGAGTTGAAAAAGCAGGAAAGCTTGTTTCCCTCTTCCAATCTATAAATAAACCTAGGTGTGGGAGAATGAGATACATTAGTTATAAAATCTTGAACTACATGGTGACCAGAAACAATCAGTTCAAATACTTTAACTCAGCTAGTTATAAATTCAAAATGTTTTGATTTTAAAAAATTAGTACCCAGAAAATTTAAGGTAGTTTTATTTAACTACAAGCAATTTAAATGTTTTTTGTGCATTTTTAACAATTAATTTCTGATCAAATAGAGATGACACTAATCACAATTAAATACATTTGCTTTTTGTTTACCAGATTTAAGGTAAATTATAACAGCTTAAATGAACATGTATAGATGTAGCCTATCCTCCTGGCTTGCAAAAAGAAGCACCAAATGTAGCATATGTAATTTAATTCCCATATATTTAATGGTTATATTTAGTTGCAAATCAACCTCTCTCTAGGAAAATAATTCAATTGTAAAACAATTAAAATTGTTGAAATCAAGGTTTCCTTCTTGAATTAAATTGTGATTAAAATCATTCACTGCTTTGATTTAAACAATTTCAAACACCCCTGTCAAAAAAACTCAAGATTAGAGTTAAATCAGGGGTTTTCAAACTGCAGGTCAGGACCCCTCAGGGGGTCACGAGCTGTCAGCCTCCACCCCAAACCCCGCTTTGCCACCAGCATTTATAATGGTGTTAAATATATTAAGTGTTTTTAATTTATAAGTGGGGTTGCACTCAGGTTTGCTAATGTGAAAGGGATCACCGCTACAAAAGTCTGAGAACCACCGCACTGATGTATTGTTGCTTTCTGGGGATGTCTCAAAGATCACTTTAAAATAAAGTAAAACACAATGTCGTCATTGTGCATAGCAGAAAATGTAAAGCAGTGCTGCCAACTCAATATTTTTTTTTCAAGCTATCTGAGAGCTGAATGACTTAGAGCAAAATCTGACCACGATGCGTTGTGCTATTATAAACGAACATTAATAGTCACAACCGCCCCAGGGAGGCAGGTATCCCCCATCCCGTTTACGGAGGAAGACCATGAAGCACAGGGGGGGTAAGTGATCTGTCCAAGCCCCTACAGCGGCCGCGCGAGAAGGGGCTCGCTCCCCCTCCTAGCAAAGCCGGTGCAGGGCCGGACGCTCTCGCCCAGCAGTGAGGAGGGTAACGGGGGGGTTGCAAACTGCAGGGCTGCCAGAGGAGCGGCTCTTCGCCCCACGACTGACCTTCTTCTGGTACCAGGCGATGGCATCTCTGCCACGTGCGGCCATCGGGCTCCTCAGCCACCGCCGGACGAGTGACCTAGAAGGGAACAGGGCAGAGCGCTGCCCTCTCACAGGCCGGGCCCGCGGGCTCCGACTCGCGGAGGGGAACCGGCCAGGAGGCGGCTGCGCCTGGCGCCGGAGCCACCCCCGGGGCGGGCAGAGCCCAGCCCCGAAACCGCCCGCGGCCACTGGCCTCCCGTCCCGCGTTTCCCAGGGGTGGGAATGACCTTCCCAGACCCCCGGCCCCCACGCCAACCGCTCGCCCCTCGCCCCCTCCCCTTAGCCAACCGCTCGCCCCCCCACAGCCCCTCCCCCACCACAGCCCCTCGCCCCTTCCCCGCCAACCGCTCGCCCCTTCCTCAGCGCCCCGCCCCGCCCCGCCCCTCCCATCTCTCCCCAGCCCCGCCTCACAAGGGCAGGTCCGACTCCCGTCTAGCCCCCTCGCGGCTCCTCCTTACCCCCCAGCCCAGCTCCGGCCTCGCCCCACGCGCTGCCCGGCGCTCTCCCTCCGAGGCTGAACGTTACCATGGAGACAGGAGAGCGCACGAGCCCGGATTGGAAAACGGCACTCGACTGCCTCTGCCTGGCTCTCCCCCGGCCCCGCAGCTCCCCTCGAGCTGAGTCACCGAACGCGCTGGGCCGCAGGCAGCACCAGCCGAACGCCGACCCAGGCTGTCTCGCCAGAACGCTGCCCGCGCCTGCAGGGCGGGCGCGCGGGCCCCACTCACCTTCGTGGTGGGCGGGGGCCCCGGCCGGGGCGGCCACAGACCCCAGCACCATCGCCTCAGGGCCGCGGCGCCGCAGTGACTTAACCCCGCCCCCAACGCCCGGCGTGGCCAACCAGCGGCCGGGGCGGAGCGCGAGGGGCCGGCGGGGGTTACTCCTTCAGGCGGGCGGGGAGCGGGGCAGGGCAGGGGTGCTTCCACCACCCCTCCACAGCAGAAGCACCAGTCAGGGCGCCCACTTTTCCAAGCCCCCCCCCCCAATTGCATTGGCCCCGTGGTTAATCCGCCACTGGAGAGGATTATCCCAGAGCCTGAGCCTTAGTACAAAACCAGGTCTGCAGGCAGGAGGCACGTATACACACAGGCAGGTACAGTGCCGTCTTTCAGAGCAGCAAACAACAACGCATGTCTCAACTATAAGCTTTTTACTGTCAGCTAATGTCAATTTCTCACTTTCCCCAGTCACAGTATATTTGCAAAATACATTTTCACCATGTCAAAGGATCCACCCGTGGCTCTCAGAAGGAAACTCTTCTCTATTTAAAGTCAATAGAACAATTTGGGATCCACACATTGCCTGAGAAAAGTGATTCTGATCCATCAATTAGCTTAATTAACATTGCGCAACCATCAAAACTATTGCTGCTCTTCTTTCCGAAGGCATGCACATCTGAAGCTATGCTATCTCATGAATAGTTTACTGGTCCAGCTGAAATTCTGTGCTGTGCCAACAACAGAAACAGTGCTCTACATTTGCATGCTTTAGAATGAAAGTTAGAGAACTGTGATCAACGTAAGTTACACTATGCTGCTTTGCCACATACAAATAGCACCATGAGTGAAAAGCCACTATTTCACAGAACGTAGTGGAGACAGTGTTCTACAAGTTTTACCTGCTGTTGTAGTGGCCAGTCAGTTCCCTGTAGGCAGACTATAGATCAGCAGTAGTCCTGCATGTGCAGATGCAGCAGAGAATTTCCTCCACTTTGAAATATTGACTCACCCTCAGTTCAAATTTTTGCCATACACTTTTTCTAAGGTTAAGTAAAATATCCAAGGATGAACAGGGCTTCCTGTGGGGAAAGAAGTATTGTTATACAGTGTTCAAACTGGAGTAGATTGTAGAGGGATTGGGATAAATCCATTGTAGGGCTGTTTGGGGTTTAACAAACTTTTAAAAACATGCCATTTGGTACAGTTTGGAGCGTTCTAAAGCCAGAAATTGTCTCTAAAATACTTTGAAAGAGCAAGAGATCATCCATCATCATCCCTGGCAGAGTTGGTCTGTAGTATCTGGAGACAGAATAGGGAATTGTAGCAGAGGCCTCATAACTTAAAAAACAAAACTTGCAGAGGTTTTAGTTCCATTAGAGCTGTTGGCCACCTTTCCCACACTGCCATTATATGCAACACATAGCAACCATAGTTTCTCTTTCTCCCCTCCTAGATAAAAGATACAGTGATTGCAGGTTTTAGTTTTCTACCTCTTAATTAGGAGATGAAATTAAACATTTTATAATAGTTGCTAACTCTGTCTGCTTTGAAGTAGCTTAGATTTTGTTTTTCTGGACTACTAAGAGATTGTAACAACCTCATTCTGAGAGTATGATGTTACACACACCCAGCATTTAGCAGACATTACGAGAAAGATCCCCCTAAATTTCTTTTATCCTTACATATTTTGTCTGATTAGGACATACACCTGATGGGGCCATTCTGCCCATTCCCATCCACAAGCCACCATATTTTCCTGCTTTTAAAAGCCAATTCTCAGGATTCTTAGTTTACCTGTACCTGCAGCATGCTTCAAAGTGATCCCAGTGCAACACTAGCTAACCACTGGAGATAAAGGAAGGTGAGAGGAGGCATGGGGACAAAATCAACCTCGGATACTGCCAGTGTTACTGATCTTTGAAGAAAGCGTTCAGACATATCTAGAGGAGAGGATAGTTTTATATTCTAAACATTTGCAGTTGCTCAGAAGACAGGAGTTATTGCTATTAATTTAAAGAAATTTAAATAATGAGAGACTGAAATAAAGGACGAAATCAGGTTTATTAAAAAAATACTTTACAGGAAAAAAATCTATGCATTCCATTGTACTATTTTTACAAAGAAATAGCTTAACAGTTTGACACGCTTGTACAGTCAGCTACTAAAAGAAATACACTGGTTAGAGGATTATTCACATAGAGGTTCTGTTTACACTACGCATTATAAAAACCTCTTTAAAACTTTTCTGTTAAATGTCAATAAATATACTAGGGTCGCACAAAGCAAACAGTCTTCCAGGCAATTGTATATGTCCTCTGTATGCAAACAACTTAGATACATTAAAACCCACAGAAAATATATTAGCTGCCAATCAAATTAAATCACAAAATCATATAAGAAATCTCTTTACATGTTGTACAAAGAAATTAGAAGTATAAGTATTTCTTTAGACAATTGAAGAGTGCTATAATATTAGCTCCTCAGCTACATGTGCTATTTGATCATAACATTTATATTACTGGAAGGTAATGTAAGGCCATAACATTGTTGGGAAATCTTCTTTTAGACCAACGTAAGTTAATTTACAGTACAAGCCTTCAGGTGAAAAAAAGTCCCTTTTCAGGAGCTGAAGATAATGTCCCTCCCACACCTCGTGCCCTTTAAAAACAACCAATATGGCTACATACACTTAGCATTTATAACAATAAATGTAAAGTGCTTATCACTCAGTAAAATTCAAGCATGTGAATGACAGAATGAGCAAAATGAAGGATGAACTCCCATCCATCCTGCAGCTCTGACAAAAAAGAATTATGTCAAGAGACTGGGACTCATGTAGGAAAACAGTTGACAGATTAACAGTTTTTCTATATGGTAAAAGGTATAGATTAATAACTACTTTGTTACATAGCCCCGGAGAACACTTCAGTGAGTGTTCCATCTTCTTGGAAGAAAACATGTCAACAATAGAGAATTGAACTATTGACTTCACAAAGTACTTTTAAAACAGGTCAAGGTTCTGCACAGAAAGAATTAGGACACCCAAGGAAGAGAAAAATGTGATGATATCATTTGACATTTCTCATATTTAGAGTTTCTATTTGGCTAACTGATCTCTGGCACAACATGGCCCTTCACTTTTATCCCAGTTTACAGTTTTCCTTGGCTAATAAAGGAATTGTAAACTGTGCTTAAAACAGAAGCCAAGCCCAGGTTTCCATTTTAGGCTATGTCTACACTACTGCAGTAAGTCTATCTATGCTACGCAACTCCAGCTACGTGAATAATGTAGCTGGAGTCGACGTACCTTAGGTTGAGTTACTGTGGGGTCTACACTGCAGGGGGGGTCAACGGGAGAAAGTCTCCCGTCGACTTCCCTTACTCTTCTAGTTGGGGGGTAGAGTACAGGGGTAGACTGGAGAGCGATCTGCAGTCGATTTGGCGGGTCTTTACTAGACCTTCTAAATTGACTGCCGGTGGTTCGATCTCAGAGTGTCAACCCTGGCTGCAGTGTAGACCTGCCCTTACAGCTAGTTATGCTCTCTAGTATCATGTCCCTGGACTACTGCTGTTAAAAATCTGACTTGGTTTCAAGGCGAGAGAGTATTCCAAATTTAGTTCCAGACTTCAACCAAACTCATAGGTTTCTAAAAGACAGGGCAGATCTTCAGTGGCGCTATGATGATTTACCCCCACCAAAGTTAATGGAATTATTATAAACACCAGCTGACCTGATGGATCAATGAATACTAGAGGAATATTATCAAAATGTGACAGACTTCTGAAATTTATTCCATCTTTATGTATAGCCCTATTTCATCATATCTGTAAGTCCTCAGTCTACTGGCAGCTGTTGACATGATATATTCTTGCCAACTGAATTTGAGATATGCTTGCATAAAAAGTATAGGCATTAAATTATCACTGAATTTAATGAGCTATGTTCTGAAATCTTTGAGTGATAAGTCAATCAGAAATTGCCATTTTCCACCAATTACTTGCCAATATTTTACTCTTAAGACTAGCCAAAGATTTGACTTGCCCAATATTTTACTGAAAAAATTAACGTGTCCATCTGTCACTTGATTTCTCACAAAGCACAAGTATGACATCTGTATTCTTCATATTTATTATTCAGTAAGCCACTTGTAGTGCTGACCAGTTTAGAGTACTGCACATCCGAAGGTATTATTCCAACTGTAATTCACTGATTTCAGAACTATAGATACAATGTAATGGGCACCAGATTTAGCCATTGATTTCATAAGCAATTCTTTCCATACCTATATTTAGAGATGAGCTGGAAGAATCAAGTTTGGAAGAAGTGTGGTAATTTTGGATTTTGCAAATGTTTCAAAAGTTGCATCAGTACAGTGTTTCTCAAACTGGGGCCGCCGCTTGTGTAGGGAAAGCCCCTGGCGGGCCAGGCCGGACCGGTTTGTTTACCTGCCCCGTCCTCAGGTTTGGCCAATCGCGGTTCCCACTGGCCGCGGTTCACCGCTCCAGGCCAATGGGGGCTGCTGGAAGCGGCGGCCAGTACATCCCTTGGCCCGCGCCGCTTCCAGCAGCCCCCATTGGCCTGGAGCGGCGAACCGCGGCCGGTGGGAGCCGCGATCTGCCGGACCTGCGGACGGGACAGGTAAACAAACCGGCCCGGCCCACCAGGGGCTTTCCCTACACAAGCGGCGGCCCCAGTTTGAGGAAACACTGCATTAGTATTTCATTAAAGGATTAAAATTTGTACAGGCAAAATTAAGAAAAAAGTTATAAAATTGAAAGCTTCATGAAATTTTATCTGAAACAAAAATCTATTAATCTCTATCTCAGGTTTACAACATCAAAATAATAGCAACATCATCCAAATCATTCGATGACTAATTTATAATGAAGAGGAGGACATCAACTTGACTTTAAGTTTTGAACTAGTAAACTAAGTGAGTAAAAGGAAAGTATGGTACAGTGGTTAAAGGCATTCAGTCCACAGAAGTAAAAGAGTG